TAGTGTGACTTTGGCTGCAAAATACAAATTTCGAATTTGACCTCCTACCTCTTCAACGACCTAGTGCGCCACCATGTTATCACACCAACCATTAGATCTGATCGCTGACACCCCAGCAGATATGACATCATATCATTTCCATTTGCCATTACCATATAGATCAGAAGATATATCTTGATTATTCCCAAAATCTCCTACTTTGTTTGGCATAGTATACACTGACCAGTCTTATTGTACAGGGCGTATATTAAGTTGTTCTAAATGTATAATCTAACAAGACACGCTTCATTTAGCTTTTATCAAATAATATTTGAATGAATGAGACAGACATATATGATATTATATAAATATGTTCATGAAGATAAAACAGACATGTTCAGGAAACGCCGAAACTTAGTCTATTTGAAAGATCTTAAACTGAGGTTCGGCGCCCCCCCATGTATATTATTACATCAGCGCCCCTGGGATATTTAACGGCCGCTTCTCTTGCATGTAACGGTTAGAAAAGACTTGGAAAGATACAGGTCGGTGCACTCGGCATATTCCGCTACGGGATACCGCGACAACAACCATCAAGCTCCTCACAGCGATAGCCCGTTCGCGGAGCTCTCCTATACTATGTTACCGAGAGTGAAATCATGTGACGTCACGTGACCTGACATCAGGGATTTCCAAAGTGACGGTAAAGCACTCTGGAGCGACGTCCCCAGTCTTGCGGTGATGTGATGACTTAGCATGACAGCACACACTCCGGCACAGTGATGACTTAGCATGACACCACACACTCCGGCCAGTGATGACTTAGCATTACACCACACACTCCAGCACAGTGATGACTTAGTGTTACACCACACACTCCGGCACAGTGATGACTTAGCATTACACCACACACTCCGACACAGTGATGACTTAGCATTACACCACACACTCCGTCACAGTGATGACTTAGCATTACACCACACACTCCGTCACAGTGATGACTTAGCATTACACCACACACTCCGGCACAGTGATGACTTAGCATTACACCACACACTCCGGCACAGTGATGACTTAGCATTACACCACACACTCCGCCACAGTGATGACTTAGCATTACACAACACACTCCGGCACAGTGATGACTTAGTGTTACACCATACACTCTGGCACAGTGATGACTTAGCATGACACCACACACTCCGTCACAGTGATGACTTAGCATTACACCACACACTCCAGCACAGTGATGACTTAGCATTACACCACACACTCCGGCACAGTGATATCTTAACATGGCACCACACACTCCGGCACAGTGATGACTTAGCATTACACAACACACTCCGGCACAGTGATGACTTAGCATTACACCACACACTCCAGCACAGTGATGACTTAGTGTTACACCACACACTCTGGCACAGTGATGACTTAGCATTACACCACACACTCCGACACAGTGATGACTTAGCATTACACCACACACTCCAGCACAGTGATGACTTAGTGTTACACCACACACTCCGGCACAGTGATGACTTAGCATTACACCACACACTCCGGCACAGTGATGACTTAGCATTACACCACACACTCCGTCACAGTGATGACTTAGCATTACAACACACACTCCAGCACAGTGATGACTTAGTGTTACACCACACACTCTGGCACAGTGATGACTTAGCATTACACCACACACTCCGACACAGTGATGACTTAGCATTACACCACACACTCCGGCACAGTGATGACTTAGCATTACACCACACACTCCGTCACAGTGATGACTTAGCATTACACCACACACTCCGTCACAGTGATGACTTAGCATTACACCACACACTCCGGCACAGTGATGACTTAGCATTACACCACACACTCCGGCACAGTGATGACTTAGCATGACACCACACACTCCGGCACAGTGATGACTTAGCATTACACCACACACTCCCGCACAGTGATGACTTAGCATGACACCACACACTCCGGCACAGTGATGACTTAGTGTTACACCATACACTCTGGCACAGTGATGACTTAGCATGACACCACACACTCCGTCACAGTGATGACTTAGCATTACACCACACACTCCAGCACAGTGATGACTTAGCATTACACCACACACTCCGGCACAGTGATGACTTAGTGTTACACCACACACTCCGACACAGTGATGACTTAGCATTACACCACACACTCCAGCACAGTGATGACTTAGTGTTACACCACACACTCCGGCACAGTGATGACTTAGCATTACGCCACACACTCCGACACAGTGATGACTTAGCATTACACCACACACTCCGTCACAGTGATGACTTCGTGTTACACCACACACTCCGTCACAGTGATGACTTAGTGTTACACCACACGCTCCGGCACAGTGATGACTTAGCATTACACCACACACTCCGGCACAGTGATGACTTAGCATTACACCACACACTCCGGTACAGTGATGACTTAGTGTTACACCACACACTCCGTCACAGTGATGACTTAGTGTTACACCACACGCTCCGGCACAGTGATGACTTAGCATTACACCACACACTCCGGCACAGTGATGACTTAGCATTACACCACACACTCCGGTACAGTGATGACTTAGCATTACACCACACACTCCAGCACAGTGATGACTTAGCATTACGCCACACACTCCGACACAGTGATGACTTAGCATTACACCACACACTCCGTCACAGTGATGACTTAGTGTTACACCACACACTCCGTCACAGTGATGACTTAGTGTTACACCACACGCTCCGGCACAGTGATGACTTAGCATTACACCACACACTCCGGCACAGTGATGACTTAGCATTACACCACACACTCCGGTACAGTGATGACTTAGTGTTACACCACACACTCCGGCACAGTGATGACTTAGCATGACACCACACTCTCCGGCACAGTGATGACTGAGCATTACAACACACTCTCCGGGACAGTGATGACTTAGCATTACAAATATGCTACTACAAGTGCGCCAGTGAGGCGCATGACAATATATCTTTATACAGCAAAATATCACGGTACATTCCACATTCACATCACTTCCGCTGACAGCCCAAGTTCAAAATTTGATGTTCCGAACGTTTATCGATGAGTGTTTATATTTGGTATCCAAAGGATGACGCCGTCATATAGCTGGAATATTGCTAAGTGTGGTGTTAAACAACAAACAAACAAAAACAAACAAATCAAAAGGATGACAGCATGCGCAACCCTGGATATACCCATACAGCAGCAAGATGGTCTGTCACTGACTATAGCTTCTTTCACCAATGTCTGCTTTCTGTTTCTCATTGAATATTAACTGAGGGGGACAAGACAGTACACCAAGTTGGTTTTTATGTAATTGAAAATTGAAAGAACTGTTGTAAACTTTAATTATGTCTATTCAACCGTCGCACATTCCTGCAATAGTTTGTAAAAGGTAATCTGTGGCTGGGTAATGATGTGTTTATAATTTGGTTCAATGAAGACTGGGATAAGGAATAAATTTGCAGCCACAAGACCCCTACCATGTTTGAAATATTGTAAATTTGAGCCGAAAAAAAGCAAATTTACTGATTTTCAAAGCTAAAATGTCTAAGCAGTTTAAACTTTTTAAATATTTAATCAGATTTTATTTTATAAAATAAAGCCATGTTCAAGTATTCTTTGAGTGCTGACTAAGCGATTGTACAGTTACTTTTTTGTATATTATATCGCTTACTTAAGATATTTTCAATTGAAAATCGACAGGCAGAATATAATGCCTATCTATCCATCTATCCATCCATCCATCCATCCATCCATCCATCTATCTATCTATCTATCATCCATCCATCCATCTATCCATCTATCATCCATCCATCACCCATCTATCTATCTATCTATCCATCCATCCATCCATCTATCTATACGACGGAGTATTCATTCCGAACACACATACAACAAAACGCTTCTGACTCTTGTGACAGCTATTGATTTTCATCTCTCACCGTCGCCATCCTCACCAACACCTGCTGTAACATCTGCTTGTTTTACGCATGTACGAATAATGTACATACTACACATGTATATATGTGTGTATGTTCCTTTATAACTATTTCAACTACAATCATTATTGCTACTTTCTGTTTTAATACTTCACCCATCTTACATTGTCTTAGCTGTAACCCCAAAAAAGTATATGTTAGTCACTATATGTTTTTTAACGGAATCGATTAAGCTAGTTTATAAGGAGGAACTAGTTGCAATTCAAGCAGTTGTTTTAATTAATTGATCCCTACTTTGTCTGTCTCAGTTTCTATATTTTTTAACAGCATATGTCGTTTATTGTGTACGCACAACCTGTCACGGTTACACAGGGACAATGTTTCAGCTTTACCATAGACGGTTTCACATAAGCACTAATTACAACATATCACAGCATATATATATCAGTCTTTGCTTTGACAGAGTAAAGCTAAGGTCGCTTTGTGAAACGAAATCTGCCATGTAGACTGGAAATACCAGATCGCTGAGCATATATACTGAGCAAAAAAGTTAGGGAACATGAAAATATTTTAAATATTATTTTGTTGTGAAAACTTTCATAAAAATAGCCCCCCAAAGTCATGTTTCCTAACCCCTTTGTTCAGTAAATATACACCACTTCTTGAACATTAGTTAATAGTTGGTGGAACAAGTTGTCAATTTGTCTTTTCTTCAAATTGATATGTGTGTCATAGAGATCCGACTATCATCTGAATAGGGTAGGGGAGAATAAATTCTACCGATCATTGTTTGGCAAGACTCCAACACACCTTCTCTCTATATATAGTTTACGACCAGCTGATTTCCAGTCAGTTCGTGCCACACCAAGATATGAAATATGGTTGTATTGTCCTTGTTGTTAGTGAACACATACGACACCCGTTTCATGTCATGGCGTGCGGTATCTGTATAATATCCCGTGTTTTTTCGTCTGTGCCACGTCTCTTTACTTTCAGCCAATCAGATCATTCCACCTTGTCGCTGCTCGCTGAATGTGAGGAAGTCGCGTGGCGACTCGACCGGCAACCACAACCATAGCACTAGAGTCGTTTATTCGCCGTCTCAGGGCGTTGAAAAGACTGGCAATCCAGAGAAAGTACCTCATAATGTTGGTGACTACGATTATATTAGTCGTGGCTTTGCCATTTTATGTATTTGCAGACGATACGCCGAAAGGACCGAAAGTGACTGATAAGGTTTGTTGATGGAGGAAGGAATTTTCTAATTGACCTATTTACGCCTGTGTTAGAAACACGTTAACTTTGCTTGTTTTGCCTGATCACCTTTTTATGTGCTATGGAAATGGATATACGTTCAAATGAATATATCACAGTAGAAGTCTGTAAACGTGCAACGTATGATCGATATATTGTGTAAATAGTGCTCAGACTGAGTCGTCTCCCTTGGACTATTTTCAAAATGGGATTTCTCTTTTCAGTGTTTTTCGTTTTTTGGGGTGTTTTTTTATTTATAATTTTCTTTCTCAAATGAATATAAATGTAATTCCGTGTACGTTTGTTACATAGGTTTCCTGTTTTTCTAAACATATACACATGCCATTTATTATTCTCTTCAGGTCTTCTTTGACATCACCATTGGTGGTGAGAAAGCAGGACGAATTGTTATTGGTCTTTTTGGAAAAACGGTTCCAAAAACAGTGAAGAATTTTAAATCCCTGGCAGAAGGGTTTGAGGTAAGAACTGACACATTTTGTCAACAGTTGATCAGGCTTTTGTAGCTGTGCTACTGTTTGGATGCCAGAAATAGGTCCCTTTGAATATCATGCTTGTGTAACAATGCGCGAGTCCTGAACGACCTCAACGCTCGTACGTTAAAAGAAATAGGTTCTTGAATTAAACCCTAATTACGGGCTGTCCGAATCCATTGCGAAAAGCAGCTTGACTCAGGGAACTAAAGTACAACATCGGAGCAGATTTACATATAGTTTATTGAAATAAAAAAAAACATTCTCATACAAAAACAAGCTATGATATAACAAACACTGCTCTGACTCAATAATATAGGAATGGCGGGTTGAAAAAGATCTATCTTACCTAGCACGTGTTAAATAGAATGATAGGTCAAGTATTTCCCCGACAGCTACTCGAGATGACAGCGAGTGTTACAAAATAATAATGCGACAATTTACATCCTACAACATTTCAATAACTTGTCTACAAGTGAGCCATGTCTAAATATATTACCTTAAGCCACCAACAAACCCTAAGGGCGACATAATGTCCCCTCTCCAGTAACCTTCCAGCCACGCTAACCTGTCTTCTCAATGGCCGCCTTCCAAGTCATGAAGCGTGATTTTTATGCAGAAACGACAGCTTGCATAACCAATCAGGGACTGGCTTTCTTTGCTTTTCAGCCTAGCCAATCAGTGTCTACGACTCTTGGCCGATGACACCCGATGCTAGTCGGAGATCGTTCGGTTTCCGATCACTTGCGAAGACAAAGCAACTGCTAAAAATCGTTACACTTGCAATAAGGCTGAGAGTTGAGCAAAATGGGGAATGAATGATAAGGCTCTACGACTTAGCTGATAACGTGTCGTATTGCCCTGATGACTTGATGTATACTTGTCATTGGTTTGTCTGTTCCTGGCTCAGTTATGACTGAGTTATGTGCAAGCTGACATGAAATATCTTCCTGAGGCAAGTGAGTTAAAATAACTCTAAAAGTTCAGTTTCCAACCTTACCGAATTAAGCTACAATTATGGAGTTATATTTTGGCTGGACCAACGAGTCTGTGCATAGTCCAATCAAAATCGTGTGATGAAATGAACATCCGGTTCGTAAACAACATGGATTTCAACGTGCAAATTTCTGTTGACTGCAGGATTTGTAAAAGATGTGTACCATCAACTGCGTGTCAACAGATATTTTCCCAATCTTTTCATGCTCAAGTGATTTGATGTCCTTTCCGAGATAAGAACCTTCTTATTACAATATATCTTCATCATCCGTCAGATCGTCTTGGCTGGGCCTTGTCATTTTGTTTGAAGCAAATGCAAGTGATATGAGAGGTGGAATCTGATTGGTCAATATAAGGAGTCCAGAAATTCCAACCTATTTTGTCAAGGGTGGTAACTGGACTTTCAGAGACTGTTAAGTCCCTTGCCTCAGGAAGATGGACATGAAATGGCTTTGTGAAATTCTAGTTTGTTTACACATGTTTAAATATGACCCCAGCATGGGAGAAATGGACATTGCTATTGCCAATATGGCCTGTATTCCGAACACAATGTCAGTCAAATATATTTATATTATTGTCCATGGCCCACACTTGCTGTAAAAAGCGACTCTGCTTGTCATAAGAGGCGACTAACATGATCGGGTGGTCAGGCTCGCTGACTTGGTTGATGCATGTACTTGATCCCAATTGTGTGGATCAATGCTCATGATGTCAATCACTGGATTGTCTGGCCCAGACTTGATTATTTACAGAGTTGTAATATTGCTGAGTACGGCATTAAACAACAAACAAACTAATTATATTGTCCGTGGTGTCTGCCTATGTCATGTGAACCTTTCAAGGCATGTGATGAATAATCTGTGATGTATAGTCACCCCAAAGTAGCCACTTGTCAACTTGTTGATAATGATTGCTAAACATAGAATTTGATTTTCAGCTATTCGGCCTCAATTTTGGTTGCAGTGAAACCAGATATATTTCTTGCAGCTACTGTGTGCGTTTTTCAATGCTGTATTGTAACTCTTAATTTCAGGATGGAGGAACGACTCTGACCTACAAAGGCAGCAAGTTCCACCGAGTTATCAAGGACTTCATGATCCAAGGAGGGGACTTCACTCGTGGTGATGGAACAGGAGGTACACTTGTTGACCCTGTGGGGATTCAGTCCAAGAATCTGTCTCCTTGTGTTGACTGATCCGACAATGCTTGTCGTAAGAGGCTACTAATGGGATCAAGTCATTGTCATTGTATCCCAATTGCGTAGAACGATGCTCATGATGTCAGTCACTGGATTGTCTGGTCCAGATTCGATTATTTACAGACCACCGTCATATAGCTGGAATATTGCTAAGTGCTGCGTTAAACAAGAAATAAGGAAACAAACAAACGTTTATCACCTAAATTATCAGAGGTCAATAGGTCCAGGGGGCGTTTGTGTAGCCTAGTGGTTAAAGCGTTCGCTCGTCACGCCGAAGACCCGGGTTCGATTCCCGACATGGTTACAATGTGTGAAGCCCATTTCTGGTGCCCCCCGCCATGATATTGCTTGAATATTGCTGAAAGCGGCGTAAAAAAGGTCACCAAAGTTGCGTTGCTTTGGGTGGCCCAGTCATCTAAGGCGTCGCGATTCGCTGTGCAGAGTTGTGTCCCTTGGGTATGCCAGAAACCTATGTTTGTGGGTTCGAATCCCGGTTCGCCCCGATTATGTTTCTAGGTTTGTCAGCACCATACCCGTGCTCGTGGGTTTCACCGAAGTGGTAAACGTCAGAGACCTGCATCACTTCGGGCCTTCCTCCCACATTAAGCTGACACGCCGTGATATAACTGGAATACTGTTAAAAGCGGCTTTAAACCCAACTCACTCACACGACAGACCGTCGTCATATAACTGGAATATTACTAAGTGCGGCGTTAAACAACAAACAAACAAACAAAATCATGCTTTGTTTGGTATGGCTGAAATACTGTTTAAAATAGCAGAAAACCTCAACTACTTACAACAGTAATTATTGTGAATATTTCATTATGTATTATAAAAATGTCTAAGACCTTTCTTCTTGTTTGAGAAGTCACCCTTGCAAAACTAGAATGTTTAATAACAATAAAAAGTTGTTATTCTAAATCGGTTACTGTTGAATTGCTTAAGACATTTGTGATAGACTTGGGATGTCTATCCACTTCTGAGAATGCCCCGATATACCCCTGAATTGAAACGATAATCAGGGTTGATTAAGCTATATAAAGTATGCACAACTTAAAGTGATAGATATGCAACTTGATTTTTCAATTTAAATCAAGTTCCTTAAATTGAGCCCTGATAATGTCCCTTCTTCCAGGCAAGAGCATCTATGGGGATCGCTTCCCTGATGAGAACTTCAAGCTGAAGCACTATGGAGCCGGATGGCTGTCCATGGCTAATGCTGGCAAGGACACCAATGGTTCCCAGTTTTTCATCACTGTGAAAAAGACAGATTGGCTTGATGGAAGACATGTTGTTTTTGGGAAAGTTGAGGAAGGAATGGTGAGTACATACTTACTTACTTACTGCACACACTACCTAACACATCGAACCGCATTACAAACCAACCTCAATCTAAACAAGTCTCTCACTCTAGAAGGTATACTAAACCCACAAAATAAACTAGAAAACTTCAAGGCCTTAGGCGTATTCATAATCAAAACTGAACTAATAAAACGCATCTAAAAACAAAATAATCTACCAAATCAAAATCATATAAACAAACAAACATCCACCATACCCAGCTCCCTTAGTTCTCCTCCCCAACCCCATCGGCATCTATTCCAAATCTCAAAATTCCCAAATTCTATATAAGCAACCCCTAAAGCCCCCTCTTGGGTTGCACACACCACTTTCGCCCCTTTCAGAAACACATAAATGGCCTGGCCGGGCCCGTGTGCGAAATACACATCAGTCGGAAAGCGCACATTAAATCTCCAAAGTAAGTAAGTAATGTGTTTTCAATGTAGAGCCAGGTTACTTGTAGATTTAACCATGCTTAATTTAATTTGGATCCAAACACACAGCCTGAAGTTTCAAATGATAAAATTTAGTGCGGTTAAATCGATGAGTAACCAAGCTCTACATTGAAAACAGTATGTTTAACTCCATTCTGCCATGACCAAATAAAACGCAAACTCTTTTGTGTGAGCAAATATATATACCTCTTGCCCTGAAGCAGAGTGAAAAGCTCAATGTTTTAAGTTCACCTTTGGTGTGTTTTTGTTTGGAATAATTAGCCACAATTATTTATGTATCAGCAAAAATTGTAATACAGCGTAATAGAACACCCACTTTTATCAAATGAACTTTTTTTAACATGACAGATATCGGGTGTTCTTTAGACATGTTAACTACGTTTGCGTATATTTTTATTGGAATACAAGACTAAGAAATTTGTCCACCCTTTGTCCATACATTAAACAGTGTATTGCCAAACCTGTCCACTCTGGCTAGTTCCATACATTGTACAACAGTGTATTGCCAAACCTGTCCACTCTGGCTAGTTCCATACATTGTACACCAGTGTATTGCCAAACCTGTCCACTCTGGCTAGTTCCATACATTGTACAACAGTGTATTGCCAAACCTGTCCATCCTGGCTAGTTCCATACATTGTACAACAGTGTATTGCCAAACCTGTCCACCCTGGCTAGTTCCATACATTGTACAACAGTGTATTGCCAAACCTGTCCACCCTGGCTAGTTCCATACATTGTACAACAGTGTATTGCCAAACCTGTCCACTCTGGCTCGTTCCATGCATTGTACAACAGTGTATTGCCAAACCTATCCACCCTGGCTAGTTCCATACATTAAACAGTGTATTGCCAAACCTGTCCACTCTGGCTAGTTCCATACATTAAACAGTGTATTGCCAAACCTGTCCACCCTGGCTAGTTCCATACATTGTACACCAGTGTATTGCCAAACCTGTCCACCCTGGCTAGTTCCATACATTAAACAGTGTATTGCCAAACCTGTCCGTCCTGGCTAGTTCCATACATTGTACACCAGTGTATTGCCAAACCTGTCCACTCTGGCTCGTTCCATGCATTGTACAACAGTGTATTGCCAAACCTGTCCACTCTGGCTCGTTCCATGCATTGTACACCAGTGTATTGCCAAACCTGTCCACTCTGGCTCGTTCCATGCATTGTACACCAGTGTATTGCCAAACCTGTCCACTCTGGCTAGTTCCATACATTGTACAACAGTGTATTGCCAAACCTGTCCACTCTGGCTAGTTCCATACATTGTACAACAGTGCATTGCCAAACCTGTCCACCCTGGCTCGTTCCATACATTGTACACCAGTGTATTGCCAAACCTGTCCACTCTGGCTAGTTCCATACATTGTACAACAGTGTATTGCCAAACCTGTCCACTCTGGCTAGTTCCATACATTGTACACCAGTGTATTGCCAAACCTGTCCACCCTGGCTAGTTCCATACATTGTACAACAGTGTATTGCCAAACCTGTTCACTCTGGCTAGTTCCATACATTGTACACCAGTGTATTGCCAAACCTGTCCACTCTGGCTAGTTCCATGCATTGTACAACAGTGTATTGCCAAACCTGTCCACCCTGGCTAGTTCCATACATTGTACAACAGTGTATTGCCAACCCTGTCCACTCTGGCTAGTTCCATACATTGTACAACAGTGTATTGCCAACCCTGTCCACTCTGGCTAGTTCCATACATTGTACAACAGTGTATTGCCAACCCTGTCCACTCTGGCTAGTTCCATACATTGTACAACAGTGTATTGCCAACCCTGTCCACTCTGGCTAGTTCCATACATTGTACAACAGTGTATTGCCAACCCTGTCCACTCTGGCTAGTTCCATACATTGTACAACAGTGTATTGCCAAACCTGTCCACTATGGCTAGTTCCATACATTGTACAACAGTGTATTGCCAACCCTGTCCACTCTGGCTAGTTCCATGCATTGTACATCAGTGTATTGCCAAACCTGTCCACTCTGGCTAGTTCCATACATTGTACAACAGTGTATTGCCAAACCTGTCCACCCTGGCTAGTTCCATACATTAAACAATGTATTGCCAAACCTGTCCACTCTGGCTAGTTCCATACATTAAACAGTGTATTGCGAAACATGTCCATCCTGGCTAGTTCCATACATTGTACACCAGTGTATTGCCAAACCTGTCCACTCTGGCTAGTTCCATACATTGTACACCAGTGTATTGCCAAACCTGTCCACTCTGGCTAGTTCCATACATTAAACAGTGTATTGCCAAACCTGTCCACTCTGGCTAGTTCCATGCATTGTACACCAGTGTATTGCCAAACCTGTCCACTCTGGCTAGTTCCATGCATTGTACAACAGTGTATTGCCAAACCTGTCCACCCTGGCTAGTTCCATACATTGTACAACAGTATTGCCAACCCTGTCCACTCTGGCTAGTTCCATACATTGTACAACAGTGTATTGCCAACCCTGTCCACTCTGGCTAGTTCCATACATTGTACAACAGTGTATTGCCAACCCTGTCCACTCTGGCTAGTTCCATACATTGTACAACAGTGTATTGCCAACCCTGTCCACTCTGGCTAGTTCCATACATTGTACAACAGTGTATTGCCAACCCTGTCCACTCTGGCTAGTTCCATACATTGTACAACAGTGTATTGCCAAACCTGTCCACTATGGCTAGTTCCATACATTGTACAACAGTGTATTGCCAACCCTGTCCACTCTGTCCACTCTGGCTAGTTCCATACATTGTACAACAGTGTATTGCCAACCCTGTCCACTCTGGCTAGTTCCATACATTGTACAACAGTGTATTGCCAACCCTGTCCACTCTGTCCACTCTGGCTAGTTCCATACATTGTACAACAGTGTATTGCCAACCCTGTCCACTCTGGCTAGTTCCATACATTGTACAACAGTGTATTGCCAACCCTGTCCACTCTGGCTAGTTCCATACATTGTACAACAGTGTATTGCCAAACCTGTCCACTATGGCTAGTTCCATACATTGTACAACAGTGTATTGCCAAACCTGTCCACTATGGCTAGTTCCATACATTGTACAACAGTGTATTGCCAACCCTGTCCACTCTGTCCACTCTGGCTAGTTCCATACATTGTACAACAGTGTATTGCCAACCCTGTCCACTCTGGCTAGTTCCATACATTGTACAACAGTGTATTGCCAACCCTGTCCACTCTGGCTAGTTCCATACATTGTACAACAGTGTATTGCCAAACCTGTCCACTATGGCTAGTTCCATACATTGTACAACAGTGTATTGCCAAACCTGTCCACTATGGCTAGTTCCATACATTGTACAACAGTGTATTGCCAACCCTGTCCACTCTGTCCACTCTGGCTAGTTCCATACATTGTACAACAGTGTATTGCCAACCCTGTCCACTCTGGCTAGTTCCATACATTGTACAACAGTGTATTGCCAACCCTGTCCACTCTGTCCACTCTGGCTAGTTCCATACATTGTACAACAGTGTATTGCCAACCCTGTCCACTCTGGCTAGTTCCATACATTGTACAACAGTGTATTGCCAACCCTGTCCACTCTGGCTAGTTCCATACATTGTACAACAGTGTATTGCCAAACCTGTCCACTATGGCTAGTTCCATACATTGTACAACAGTGTATTGCCAACCCTGTCCACTCTGTCCACTCTGGCTAGTTCCATACATTGTACAACAGTGTATTGCCAACCCTGTCCACTCTGGCTAGTTCCATACATTGTACAACAGTGTATTGCCAACCCTGTCCACTCTGGCTAGTTCCATACATTGTACAACAGTGTATTGCCAACCCTGTCCACTCTGGCTAGTTCCATACATTGTACAACAGTGCATTGCATTACAGTCCATTGTGAGATGTAGCTAGTTGCAGGTGTATGTGTTGTATTGTGTTGTATTGTGTTGTATTGTGTTAAAGTTAATGGAATGCTCTTTTGATAGCAAGAAGACTGTTCAGTCTGGGCCCAACCCTGGAAACCTGTGAAAAGATAATTGTTGCAGGATTATCCAACCTTTCAACTAGTTTCAAGTGCACATACTAGTTTGAACTTTGTACGAGTTGTGATTCATGTCAGAGTAAAGTGTCTGAGTATCAGCAAACAAATTTTGTCCATTTTAAACGATTATCAAGGATGTTGCAAAAAATACTTGCATTGTTAAAATGGGATGTTTCTGTGTTGAAAGTCTGTATTTCCGAGAAATGTCTGCAGCTGTCAACATGGCAAAACATGGATAGTTCTCTTTCACCAAAGCACTGTCAACCATGTCTATGATGGCATGCAAAAGAAATCACTATGTAGACTTGTACCAATTCCTATGTCTTCTGTTGCAGGATGTCGTACGTACAATTGAAAGAACTAACACCAATCCCGGAGATAAGCCAGCCAAGGAAATTAAAATTGCCGACAGTGGCAGTATTCCAGTTGAAAAACCATACGCTGTGGATAAAAAACCTTCAGATGAGTAAAGGGCTGTTTATGTATTAATCTGGTTAGAGCTCTAACATGTCTAAGGTGTGAGGCAGTACTACTATTTGGGTTAACCCATTGTGGTGTTTGTAACAGCCTCATCTGTGAAGATGAGATATTCTAGGGATGTTTCGGTATAGATCCTTATACCATTGTCAAGCAAGATGGACCTTGCTTGAGAAGGGTATAAGTATCTATACCGAAATGTTGCATCATTATCAAATAAAGTTGTCATCCATAAAATAACTGCCATTACTGTTACTTACCAACTTCTAATAATGCCAATCAAACCATCAGTGGTTTTGAATTCATACTTGGTCAGCTATATACACTTATGTGCCTAATGAAGTGATTGTTTTAAAGCCTCATACCTTGGATCCTTGTGAGAAAGGTGTGCGTATATTTGTGAACCTGAGAGAACTTCAGTTGTCCTTATTTTCAATAATATTCCTTGTTACAGGTCCTGTACTTGAAACATACTTTCAGCTAACTATAAATTGTTAAGTACAGGTGTACAGCCATGGTTACGAATGAATTTACTGCCAGCTTACTAAGGTGTGATGTCATTGTTGAGGTATACAATGGTATATGCAATCTATTCTATCACTACATTACTGCATTTATGGTAACATCAGTTTTGAAAGTATTCAGTTCTAAAACCGTTAAGTGTATTAAAATTTGAAAACTAGTTGAGCATGTTGAGTATCTGTGTTATGTTAGAATTTGTTATTCATTTTTATGTGTTCAGTGTTTGGATTTGTCTCAGGCATGCTGTACAAGGGGAATTTTATTTATTTATTTAAGTGTCAACCAATTTTACTTTGGACCAATGTAAACTGTATCTGGATATATCATGCGCTCAACTGGGAGATAATTTCTAATCTATGGAATAAAAGTTTTGTAAAGATTCTATTGTGTGTGTTATGATTGGGATACTGTTTAAGAATTGGTCCACACCAACCTGTGCTGGTCGTTTGACTCAGTGGAACGGACTCGGTGACTTGGTTCATTGTGTGACATTGTTGATATGAGCACCTCTAGTACACAATCACAGAATTATCTGGTCCAGACTTAATTATTTACAAGAAGCCATCATGTAGCTGACAGCAGCAACAGATATATATGTTATGAATTTATGTAATTATGCAGTACAGCATTATTACAATAACAAGGAGAAACCTTGTGATATGTTCAGAATAAGTCCACAAAGTTAATGCTGGTTGTAAGGGGGCACGGGTGGCCCAGTCGTCTTAGGCACCACTATTCAATGTGCAGAGTTGCGTCCCTTGGGCCAGAAACCTATGATTGTCGGTTAGAATCCTGGTTCGGCTCAATTATGTTTCTAGGTTTGTCAGCACCATATCCGTTCCAATGGGTTTCATTGAAGTGGTAAACACCCGAGACCTGCATCACTTTGGGCTTTCCTCACACATTAAGCTGACACACTGTAATATGACTGGAATACTGTTAAAAGTGGCGTTAAACTCAACTCACTCTCCCACCCACTCACTGATTGTGTGTCATCATCCCCAGTGTTGGGGTTTGTTGTTTGTGCTTTCAGTGATTGGTTTGCCTGGTCCAGACTGTTATTTACAGACTTCTGTGATGTGGCTGGAGTCTTTCACTCTCACTCACCCAGAGGATTGGATGAAGGGATACTGGTAGCACATCAGTATAAGATGCCAGAACTCACTGTGCCAAGTTGTCTCCCTTAGTGTCTGAGGATCTGCTGGCCATGCATTTGTATCCCAGTGCTTTTGATCCTTGGTCTGACAGCACTTTGTCCATGCTTGTAGTTTTCCTTGTATTGTTAAATTTCTACAACCAGCATCACATTTGGCTTTCCTCCCACTTGGATAAGAAGCGCATTTATAATATACCCAATTCATTCAAGTGAATGCTCATGGCGGTACATTATTAATACCCTGGTCAATGGATCAGTGTGCACTCGATTTTTGTTCTCAGCTCCCTGGGGAGTATACAACGCAAGCTGCCAGTGAGGAGCTAGAAGGTTAACAGCCACATTACCGTCTCATCCTACTAAACATGGTCATCCATCGAACAACTCTCTGTGACCAACGTTGCTCAACTTCACCTGATTTGCGACCTGTTCGCTGTGCACAGGACCACCTACCACCACATGAGGCTAACATGCCAATATTTAGTGATGAAATTACCAATTGGAGAAATCTAGTGTTGGCACTCAGCATCAAGGCACAGAAAGTGGCGTGTTATGGACTGATGCATGTTTTGCATCTTCACACACCTTTTAATTGTGGGGTATCCTATCATGATGTCAGATTTCGCCAGGGGTCACGGGTGGCCAAGTCATCTAAGGCGCCGCGATTTGCTGTTCAGAGTTAGGTCCCTTGGCGGGCCAGAAACCTATGATTGTGGATTCGAATCCCGCTTCGCCCCTATTATGTTTCTAGGTTTGTCAGCACCATATACCCGTGCTTGTGGGTTTCACCGAAGTGGTAAACGTCCGAAACCTTCATCACTCGGGGCTTTCCTCCCACATTAAGCTGATGTAAGCCGTGATGTTACTGGAATAATGTTAAAAGCGGTGTTCAACCCAACTCACTCACTCACTCAGATTTCGCCCCGATCACTACACTTGCCCTTATGGATTTCACCATAGTTGTAATTGTGGACTACCTTCATCACTGTTTGGGTTTACCTGCCACATTAATCCATTTCTTGCAATTTGTTTTGTGAAAAACATACATGAAAATGGTAAACGTAGGAAATGGGGAGGTGAGGTAGCATGATGGGTAATGTGTTCACCCACCGTGTTAGCACACAAAAGACCCAGGTTCGATTCTGCTTGTCATGGTCATGAGCACAACGTGTAAAGCCCGTCTTGGTTTTCCCTACAGGGCTGAAACAGCAAATAAAGCGACAGAACCCTTTCCATATCCAATAGAAATCTCTGCACAAAGCAGTCGATTTTACAATTCTGACTATATCATGTGCATGTGTTTGTGAAAAAATGGTGAGCATATCCTGCCCCACCGATGGCACCCATCACAAACACATGCAAAGACAAGTCAATCGTTCACCTGAAAAAACATGGGAACCAGGCACACTTGATTTCATTTTTTTCAGTCCAGATTGGGTAAAACAAAGCAAAACAAAAACACATATCTATGAACAACACTTTAGTTAATAACCATATTTTCAAATCTGAATTATAATACAACATACATACTTTATAATTACAAATGCCATATGTACACAACAATGGAACATAATAACAAAGATTTTTTTCAACAAAATGACAGCACAATATTTGCTTGTTAAGAAATAGCAGCCCTAGCTCTACATGTATCCATGTAGATTGTTACAGTTCATCACTCTGTTGCGGTAGACGAGGACAGAGATGAACCAGTGATGAAATATAACCTACCCACTGTTGAATATTTTCATAATGTCCACTAACTGTACAGTGTCAATATTGCTCAGTTGCTTCCAAGAAAATATATATACATTGTATATGTATATATCTTACATGGCATATCCGTCGGAAATACCCTAGCTTTCATGCTTAATGTGTGTGTCATGTTTTAAGACATTTTCACATTGAAGACCATGAATATTTAATGAAAACCTATTTACAGTCTGAAAATTAAGATAATTATTATTTATTATTCAAAGAAGAAGTAAAATATTAACTCTGAACAAAAAAATAGATTCAATAATATATATTTACAAATATCAAATATATGATTTAGTAATATTAAAATCTGAACAGTAACGGACAAGGATCCATATTTTCATATGTTAACAGTGAACAGTGATAAAATATGAGTTATTAACAGAACATGTTGAAGTGTGTCATTCGTGGTTGTATTTACTGATGAATGGTTTTGTTAGTCAGCTATATGTGTGGGAAAATCTTAACAGCAAATAGGTGCATAACAAAGCTGACAATGTAACTCTTGAACAAAGCCTTTTAATATAAACAGTATTTGGTGATCAAAAACATCCTTTCCTTTATTGGCAACAAGTATTATGACAATCAAATTTGTTAAAAGGACTTTTGAACTATTTCTTGGGGCAGAAGGATGGTACATAATAATTTCTAAAAATTCTGTGTGCAATTTAAGATATGCTTTCTCATAAATCTTTTATTTCAACAAGGTATTAAACCAACCTATATTTTGTTTTATTTTGCCTTCTTCCACTTGGCGTATTTCCAATAAGACAAACAAGAATTAAACTGATCTGCACTCTCTGCCCCCCTCAAAAAAAAGGAAAAAAAAGCTGATCTAATGTAATAAGTTCATAGGTAGTCAAATTTCTAACACATAGTCTATGTCTGTAGTCTGCCCCCTTGAATATAACTTTGTTTAGGGGATGCATAACCTTGTTTAGGGGATGCATGTCATATTGAGTGATTGTCAAGATTCCTATCAAGATGGTCTTGTTATTGCATAGTGCCGGGGTTAGTGAGTGAGTGAGTTGGGTTAAACGCCGCTTTTAACAGTATTCCAGTTATATCGCGGCGTGTCAGCTTAATGTGGGAGGAAAGCCCGAAGTGATGCAGGTCTCAGACGTTTACCACTTCGGTGAAACCCACGAGCACGGGTATGGTGCTGACAGACCTAGAAACATAATCGGGGCGAACCGGGATTCGAACCCACAATCATAGGTTTCTGGCATGCCCAAGGGACGCAACTCTGCACAGCGAATCGCGGCGCCTAAGACGACTGGTCCACACGTACCCCCGCCGGGGTAGTGGCCCTGTTCTACTTGGTATGTTATTGTTGCCCCGTAGGCACAATTCACTCTCAGACCCTGTCAATATCACTCCACATGTGTTAAACTTGGGACAAGAATATTTTGCTTGGCACATTAGACGTTCTTTGGTCTCCTTGACCTTGACAGTCCGTAGACTTGTCTATTTCTCAAGCACAACAAAATATGATTCACTACATAATGTTGCCTTTAGAAAGGAGGCTTACTAAACAATTCCTAATCATGACACTGCCTCTCCAGCTATCAGTGTCTGTATTAATATTTCTATCCAGTGTGTTTAATAGAATGTCAGACTGCCTCGGTGGTCTAGTGGTAGAGCGTCCGCCCAGAGGGCGGAAGGTCTGGAGTTTGACCCCCGGCCGTGTCATACCAAAAGATGTTAAAAGATGGTACTTGTTACCCTGCATGACGCTCGGTATTGAGGGGCTCAAACAAGGACTGGTCGGCTCGGAGTCAGTATACTGTGTGAGTGGGGTATTCATGTTAAACTGCGGCATGGTATCTCAGTGGGCTAGCACTATATAATCAGCATTAGTCCGGACTAGTACAAGCAGCCACACACACACACCCACACATGTGCATGCATGTAGCTATATAAGTGCAATAATCTTGGACGCGACGTGAAACACATTTTCGCCTCACCTCGCCTCGCCTCGCCTTACCTCACCTCACCTTAAGTGAAGACATCTGTGCTTGTTGAAAATAACATAACTAAGCTGACATGTCAGAAACTTTCATTGTAAAACACTGGAATAATTCTAGTGGTTATCCAGTTGATATGTCTACTAATGCATATACCTGTATGTTGTTTTCTCATAGTGAACAATCATATATATGTATGCATATATACATCCCTTAAGTCATATTAATATATGAGGTTCACATAGTTTGTGACATTTTTAATGTCGAAAGAGCATATTCCACACAGTTGTCTAAGGGGGATGTCAAACTACCAAATTCCACACAATTAGTGTCTTTGGGTGATTAAGTAAGTGGTGACAAAAGATTACCGGTACTGTTCGTTTCAGCAACTGAATAAAAACACATGACACTTAAAAACTAAGATCAAAGTTGTCATATTATACAACAGAAAAAAATATGAAGGACCCAAGGCTGACCTTAGCTTCCCAAACTACACGGGCAAAGTATTAAAAATAAGAAAAAATGTCATCATATTTTGACTTCTTAATGATAACTATGTAAATATAGTCTATACGTCCCACGCGATGTACATGTTGTAGTATTGTGTATAGCAAGGACATCAACCAGAGTATCACATATCACAACTGACCACGATGCATATATGCAAAACAGACTAAAGAGGTCAAAGGTTGAACCTTGATTCAGCCTTGGCAAATGCAGACGTTAAGCAAACAGTCAGAATTGAGAAAAATCATTATTTACAAATAAACACTATCACAGACTAATATGTATTAGGGGTGAAATGATCTGTTCATGTACCGTTGTACGATGACACGCAATTATTAAACATACTACCATTATTGTGCTGGTACTAACACAACCTGCTCACTAACTTCCTACAAACAGCAAGACATACTACTCAAAAGAAGTTAAAGAACACCCAATTTTATCATATGACTATAGGTATCTGTTATGGGCCATAACAGATTAACTATAGTCATATAAAAAAAAGGTGTTCCTGAACTTCTTTTGAGTAGTATATATAAAGATTTCATGAAGCACATAAGGGCACACTTAGTTGTTTCTAGGTTTAAAGATCCTCTGATCTCAAAATGATTTCTTCTGTAATTGAAAAACGATTTTAAAAAGTTGTTGTTGAGGTGTTTGGTCAGACATTGTCCATTTGTTGTTGTCCAGAGTTCTTGGGTGCTAATGTCAGGAGGTAGGAGGAAAACCTCCATTGTTGCCAGGGTAAATATTCTATAATCCTCTTTAAATAACATTTTAATCAAAATAGAAATAATACATGAAAAAAAAAGGAAATCCAACATCTTTTTAAAAAACAACACTTTTGCAACATGTGGGATGTAAAACAGGAAAACTGAACTCATATCGCAAACAATTCTGTATGACAAATTTGGTAACATATATTTACATTTCTAAGTCCATAAAATTATCTTCCATATCAACTGGTCCGCGAAAAACTGTGTTTTTTTCCTTAAAACAACAAACTGTTTAGTTAAATGGAATTTGTCACTCAGAAATATCATTCACAACAAACTAATGATTATCTGTAAAATATGTGTTTTAATTTTAAATTTCTAGCTTGTATGACATCACAAATAAGACATATTGTACACAGACCTATCATTCCACCCCTAAACTCATTAACATGAATATACCAAATCTCTTCAATGTGAAATATGTCAGTGATGCAAAGATGAGGATTCAGAATAATGATTCACAAACATTGTAACTGATGGTAATAAACACAGCCATGACCTTTATGGCAGTTGGTGAAATATCATGAACTTGAAGGTAGAAAAAGGGTGGTTGTTTTATTGAAAAACTGATCGTCAGACAGCTCATGTTATAGTATTATACTGTCACTGGCATCAGCATTCAAATATTATGAACTTCAGAATGCTTTAACTAAAAACACTGAATAAAGTAACATGTAAAAAATTGATGCTTTGAAATATTTATACATACATATGACCATTTTCATTTACAAGACAGATGATTAATTTACACTCACATAGAACCAACCTATAAAAATACTCTCTAAAGCTAATCATTTGAAATTTACCCTCTGATAAACATCAATGATAGTAGTCTTCAACAAAACTGGGAAGGTAACAACAAAAATAATTTAGGATGCCATGTGTTCACATGAAAATATCATAGGACTGACCACAGCCGTCAAGGTATCAAAGGTTTGTACCTTGGACAATCTTAAAAAACAAAAATACTGCCCAGAGACAATCTTGCAGGTATCCTTAACATGGCCAAACAATGCAGAAATACATGCAGTTTGAAAACTGCTTGATTTAATTGCATTGAATTCACATTAGTATAACATTATGTGGCATGTTTGGTGAGAAATAAATACATTTGGTTCCCTGGGACATAATATCTTATTCCATTGAGTGAGAAGGGTTTTTGACCTGTTTGAACAGTATTTCAGTTATATGTAAGTCATTTACTATTTTGGTGAAACCCACGAACACAGATATGGTGTTGTCAGGCTAGGGATCCTAATCAAGGTGAATCTGTGAATCAAACCCATGATTAGCACACTCTGACACAGTTAAGGGAGGCAACTCTAATCTGTGAATCAAACCCATGATTAGCACACTCTGACACAGTTAAGGGAGGCAACTCTGATGATCTGTGAACTAAACCCACGATTAGCAGACCTTGGCACAAGCTCCTCACAGCAATAGTACGTTCGCGGAGCTCTCTATACTATCACTGCCACCAGTCAAAATTCCCCACAGTGAATAGGTGGCCACAACCATGCTCGGAGTTGAACTCGCAACCGAATGACCGTTATGTTTACAAACAAGTGACGACTGTCGTGACGCCGAATACACTTATCGCTGCTAACTTACTTTCTTCGTTTGTCAATTTGAATTTCTGTTTCATTAAAACTATCGTGTTATTGATATAGTAAGAATGTAAGTGAGAAGTTGGTTGATTTTACGTTAGTCTGCAATGTCGAACCAATCTGATTATCAAAACAACAGAGTAAATTCATCATGAAAACATGGTCAGTCGTAAACCTTTTCAAATGAAATATGATGGCATTCCCAAAGACATAAACAAAAGTATAAACGTTACTACATATGGGGTTAGAGGGCAAATTTCAAGATTCTTGTAATGGCCGCGCCCACACTGGTGGCAGCGATGTTACCGAGAGTGTAATGAAGGTGTCACGCGCTGGGAAGGAGCTTGACCTTGGCATGGTTAAGGGAGGCAACTCTGCACAGCAAACTGCAGACCACCACAAACTTCTGCCTTCAGACCAAAATGATATATTTCTTGCCCAGGTATAAACTCACTCACTGAAAAAAAATATCTCTCTCTGTGCCTGTTTCAAGACATTTACAGAGTAATGGTCAACTGTTTTTTCAACTTCTCATAGATCAGAAATAATTATTGAAATTTCACAAATGACAATCACTTTAGAAATGCTTGTTACAAATACCACCCATGATATGCAGAAAAGCCTCATTCTTTATCTGAACACACATTTAGACATTATTATCCATCCCTGGACATCTTTAGATTGTTGTAGTTGAGCAGTATAAATAGATAACATGTAGATATCAGTTACTATAGGTTTCATGAAACAAGTCAATTCTTCTTCTGCAAATGGACTAATGAAATATTAATGTTCATGAATGCAGAATTTTATATAGACACCTGAGAAATTTAAAATAAAAGGTGAAACATAATATACCCATAAGTGCCAGCAAGTTTGTATACAAAAGATTTCTTCATCAATTATGCATTTTAAAATCCCAGGAGTCGTATTTCAAAAGCGTTACGAAAAACTGACCCAAATAATGACATCACTGTATGACCCTGAAGACTTGCACATACCTGCAATGTTACCTGGAGAAGACTATCTTCTTGGGGTACTTCTCAGGCAGTAGGGTAGAAAAATATGTCGCCCATTATTATGTTCTCCAAGAAAGACCCTTCACATTTTTACATTTAGTTCTAGTGATTTGGTGGGTGCTGTTGCTTACAGAGTATTTCTAGATATGAACTATGATAATTACGGTATTCAAGAGGAGAGTTGGGTTTCTCAGATGTGAAATGATTTCCTTTATGTCTGATGTCATCACGGATTTCCAGTGGTCAATTCATATAATTTTCACAGCTATTTTGCCCTTTACGCCAAAATTTAATCTTTCCAGTGGTCAATTCATATAATTTTCACAGCTATTTTGCCCTTTACGCCAAAATTTAATCTTTCCAGTGGTCAATTCATATAATTTTCACAGCTATTTTGCCCTTTACGCCAAAATTTAATCTTTCCAGTGGTCAATTCATATAATTTTCACAGCTATTTTGCCCTTTAAGCCAAAATTTAATCTTTCCAGTGGTCAATTCATATAATTTTCACAGCTATTTTGCCCTTTACGCCAAAATTTAATCTTTCCAGTGGTCAATTCGTATAATTTTCACAGCTATTTTGCCCTTTACGCCAAAATTTAATCTAGACCTCTAGACTGGTTATTCTCTTGCACTGACAATATATGTGACCAACTATGAGACAAGGGACCTTATGGGTGAAAAAATCACATATTGTCTTCTTAATCTATCTGAATACTATGGTATCTTAGGACCATAAAAATCAATTCATAATCTTCCATTGATGTTTATTACTGAGATGCATGGCATCAAACATTTGGACTCACTTTCTGCAAAGTCCCATTTTCAGACATAAAACTATTTATGTTATGGTTGCAGTTTTTAAATATAATGTCTGCTTAACTGAAAGTAGACATGGATGCTGAAATGTTTTGTCATGGTCTTTTAACCTAACAAACTAACGAAAGAAAAATAGGATATTTTTAACAGTCTGCACAGAAGTTCGCTGACGTCAAACGTACTAGTCAAACGTCAAACGTCTTTCTTTGAGTCACACCACAATTGTATCCCAGTACCCATAAAGTCCCTTTTCTCCAGTTGGATCCCATATATTCACTAATCATGCTTATCTTACAATGTCGGGTCTGAGTGAATTTGGTCTTTGAAGTCTGTGTCCTTAAAAAAGGAGACAGATTCACTTATAAAATTGCCTCACTTGACTTCATTACCATGACTATTTGTCCTTATCCTGGAACGACAGTAATTTCAAAATAAATAATCACATGACAAAATACTTGGCCTTCTCTCCTTATAAGACAGGATTGAAAACTTCTTATTAAATCCTCATGTCCATAGCATAATAAAAGACGTAAAGCTATGATGAATGGACATGGCCTGCTGTCCAGTCCCAGGATGACCATCTGGTGGCTGTAGTCTCATCCACTGTGGTGACTTCATCATATTCTGCCTTAACCAGGACTGTTTCTGTAAATGCAGTGACCTATCGCAGCTCCTTGATGAGGCCTTGATGGTCATACGTCTCGGCAACGGAGACGATACAACCAGTTGCTCCAACATGGAGGGATGGGATAGAATTTACATTCACAAATATATATATATACTCCTTCAAACAATTTATACAATCACATTTCTCTGTAGGTATTGCGTCTAATGGAACACTTTCCAAGGAAAGATACTGTTATGATCCAACACAGCCCATTTGTAGGTCATTGTAGTACTTTCTCCAAATTGTGCAGTTCTTGATCTGGTATCTGTTTGGATGGAATCAAATATTTCCTTGATAAAACCATCATTCTTGAAAGACTTCATTCTTCCCGTTGGCATTTTGAAATAGGTGTATTAATTTCAGCATTACTTCCTTCAAGAATTAAAACAACCATCACACGCACAAGAACAACTTCAATTTCCATTTTTCACATACAGAAATATATCCTCCCAGATACAAAATAGTTGTGGGCAAGTAGTATCTAGGCTAGAAGTTGAATTAGTCTTGAGGTGAATATCTCCTTCCTAGCCGACTAGAAGATGGCTGCCATCAAATGTGGCGCTCTCTTAACAGGGAGGTAAGTAAGACGTGTTGCCAGGAAGATGGAGGCTAGATCATGTTTTGCCAGAATCGGCGTCTATGCTGTCCTGTTCACTACAGTCATCTTGGATGCTGTTGTCCTGAGTTTCCCCCTCTTTCTCCATCTCTTCCTTTTCCTTCCAGTACTTGTAGTTGTCCTGGAGATTTGACATCAGCTCTGGGATGTCACTGAATTCTGCAATACAGGACACACACTTGACTGTATGAACCACTCAACACTCATACTTATGGCTACAAGCATTTTCTTAAGTATTTGGTTTACAAATTAGCCATTTCACAACTCTAACTTGTTTCAAAAATATTTTTTAGAAAGTATTTTTCTTTTGGTGGAGTCTAGTAACTAATGTCAGTAATTAAAATTACTTCAAGGCAGGTAAACATAGGAAGGGACGAAATACATTGACGTGTCATAAAACAACACATTGACATGTACTTTCACGTCAAGGCTTTCTTATTTCATTCAACTGTACTTTTATAAGATGTAATTAAAATATCTTTGCACAATTTATTCATATTTAAGGATCTACCACTGACCCTATGGTTTTGGATAAGAAATCTGAAAACAATTGACAAAAATATATCTAAGTTAGGCAAAAAAACTTAAAAGATCAAGCAATGTTTTAATCAAACACAAATGCTATGCTCATTTGCACCAAAAAAACATGTGCCTGAAAGTTACTATGCAAGAATATAAAGTATAGCAGGTTACTATTAAATCAAAGTTTATCAGACATATGAAATTATTTTTTCTTAAATGATCTAAATAATTATCAGTTGGGAGAAAGCAATTCAACAAAATACTTGTTCCACATTATTTTAAAATTTAGGGTTAACCAAATATTTTATAAGTAAATAAACTTTAGTTTACCATATCCAACTATCCAAGGATCTTTTTTTCAAAATTTAAAGAATTCCAGGGATCACATGTAAATAATAGTCTGAATAAATTTGAATAAGTTATCTCCAAAGCAAGAATGACCTTTCCTGTTCTGATTGTCATTAGAATCACAGTCACTAGTACTTACGATCCACTGACCTCTTCTTGTTCCTGTTCTGATCATACTACAATCACAGAACTAGTACTTACGATCAACTGACCTCTTCTAGTTCCAGTCCTGATCATACTACAATCACAGTACTAGTACATATGATCCACTGACCTCATCTTGTTCCTGTTCTGATCATACTACAATCACAGTACCAGTACTTACGATCCACTGACCTCTTCTTGTTCCTGTTCTGATCATACTACAATCACAGTACCAGAACTTACCATTGCCCCACGTATTCCTACCCTGACTCAGGTCTTACTTCAAGCACACTATAAGTACTTACGATCCCATGCTTCAAACATGGTCTGGATGAAGACGTCAATGAAGCTGGTTTGAGATTTGGGTATACTGCAGGACTTGCGGTCAAACACCGGCATCACTACAGGAAGCTTCCGATCCTTCTCCTCGTCGGTCTGGAATGTGATGGTGGGAGTGAGAAGCTGACCAGAAAAAGTCTGTTTTGCTTGTCAGAATGGGTATAAATAGAACAATCATGTTTGTTTGTTTGTTTGTAGTTTAATGCCACACTCAGCTATATGACGGCGGTCTGTAAAAAATCGAGTCTGGACCAGACATTCCAGTGATTGACAACATGAGCATCGATCCACACAAGCGAGCCTGACCACCCAATCCCGTTAGTCGCCTCTTACGACAAGCATTTAGTCAGTCGCCTCATGGCAAGCATAGGTTGCTGAAGATCTATTCTACCCCAAATCTTTACAGGCCAGAACAATCATGTACAACAAGGAGATAATTGTTAAATAACAACAAACCTAACAGGCACAACACTGTTGAATCAATGTCAGGCGTCATTGTTGAAAAGTCAGTGATTTCTGGTTGGATCAGAAAGATGTGATGATGATGAAATGTCAACATTGAACAAACATCAGATATCAGATGTATTGAAACAATGCCGTGCTTAATGTTTGAATGGCATTGATTCTCAGTTTGATTGAAAAGTTGAACTGACGTTGAAACAACATCAGATATCAGTGTTGAAGTTATAGATTTCAACATATTTTCAAATATCAAAAGGCCAATGTTGAATCAATGTTGGTAAAATCTTTTTCAGCGTAGCTTCCTCAGATCAACCAAATTTCAACACTGACTTAATTGCATGTGCCTGTTAGGTATTGTATAATGTTGTACTATCAAATATACCAAATGCCAAATCTGAGACAAACTTGTTAAAAACATTGTGAGTGAGTTGAGCTTCATGCCATTTTGTACACTACGTCTGTTATATGATGGCATGTCAGCTCAATGTGGACAGTAAAGTGACATAGATTGTAGACATACTACATATCACACAATAAATATGAGCGTATTCTGTCTAAATTAGACCTCCTCCATGGTCTAGTGGTAGAGCGTCCACCCGGTTTGATCCCCGACCGCGTCATACCAAAAGACGTTAAAAGATGGTACTTGCTGTTACCCCTGTCGTTTCGGAGTCAGTATACTGTGTCTGAGTGGGGTATTCATGGTAAACTGTGACATGGTATCTCTGTGCACTAGCACTATAAATCATCAGTCTGGACTAGTACACAGGCATGCATGTCGGCATGTAAGTGCAATAATCTTAGAAGCAACTTTAAACCCCATTTCACCTCACCTGTCTAAATTCACAAAAGAAACGTCTAATGTTGATTTATACCGGCCAGCTTTTGAGACCTATAATTCTACCATGATATTGAATGATGACCTAATTTGATTGGTTAATTCAACTTAGTTTGATGTGGTTAATGAGCCATATCTACCACTGACCACATCACTGCAGTGATTATGTGCATAAGAAAAAGAGTCGGTTTTACAAAAGGCATTTAGTCATGGTAGAATGTAGATAAACCTAATCTGTTTATTAATTTTGAGGTGGTTTATCGTCGTTTAAATGTTTCATTTAAGAGTGTTTAAACAACGATGAACCACATCAAAATATAAAAGAGAATAGGTTGATCTCATCATTCAATTACAGTCGAACCTCGTCGGTGACCTGGAAAAAATTGAGTTTTCCGGAGTTTGAGACATCGGGGGAATTTTATGCTTAATTTGGATATTTGGGACAACCAGGAATTTGACACATCCAAGTTTGACACAACGAGGTTCAACTGTACATAGCCCACCAGGAGGAAGGAGCACCACCAACCTGACTAAAGTACTCCTCAGCTATTCTCTTGGCCCACTCCACACACAGGTCGATGGGGCGTACAGGGTTGGAGACATCAGCACACTTGATCAACATCCTCTTGATGAGGATGCGGTTCTCCGGGGTCGACAGCTGGGCCACGGACAGCAGCGTGTCATGAGATGTGTGACTGCTCTGTAACAGAAGCAGGGCATCCTTGACATTTACATCGATCATTTAAGCAAAAACATTCTTGAAATATAAGTCACAAATATGAATAATAATGTTTCTAATAAGCCTCTTTTTCAATCAGACAAGTTTTCTGAATTTTGGAAAGACAAGGTCTTCGTCGATATTCCAAGGGGTGGGAGCCAAATCAAACAAAACCTGGCAAAGCTGATTTGAGGTTAATAATCTTGTCAAGACAAATACTATAGGGTACACACAAGTGCTAAACATGAAGGTGATCTAGCTCTAACACAATGTACAATTCATAGGGAGTTTATACAAGTATATAATGTGAATGAGCAGCTTAGGAATTGTTCTGTCCGATTGGGAAAAGTTTGACCTTAGCCCTGGCAAAATGTTTTTAGATACACATATAAAACGATCTGGTGCATACACAGAAGTTGACTAAAGTTCTATTTTAATTCAAACATATAAAAGTCAGAAAGAATGGGTGTAGTAGTCAAAAAGAACTGCTTACATTAGTGACTTGTAGTTAAACATAGAGTTCCAGATAATTTTTGTCATTAAACAATATATCACATGACTAACCATGGGTCCGGGTAGTCCTGTGGGTACCCGGGTCCTACTCAGTACCCACCCGACACAAGTACCCAAGTTACCCGTTCAAGCCCTAGAAGTGATACACATAAGGAAGAGAATTTATGGATGTCAACTTCTTTATTATGAGTAACACAACATTTCAGAGTAGATGCTACTCCTCCATCAAATGATCATTCACCTGATGAAGGAGTAAGTATATACTCCGAAACGTTGTGTTCCTCATAATAAAGAAGTTGACATTCATAAATTCTCCTCCTTAACAGCTACCAAACAGCACAAAAGGACTAACTACATAAAGATTGTGGAATAGAATAATGTCCTACGACAGGAACTGTGACTAACAGAATCACAAGCCAAGATCACCATCGTCAAACTGATCCTACTTCTATAGCAGACGGCCAGCTCTAAATCATATGTGTGTATTGTTTGGTACTTTGTTTTCCTTGTATGGGACACTAGATACAAAGACCACGTGACATACCTCCGACATCTCCTCCTCCGACCGGAGGGAACTTTTGTTGATGCTATTTACAAACTTTGACAAATGCTCAAAATGCTGCTTCATTTCGGTAGCCAGGACCATGTCGATTATCATCTGACGCATCTGGCGATACTCGTCCCTGAAACAGTCACCGTCAGTAAATTTGGGGAAACAAGCAAAATAGACCTTTTTTTCAAAAAGAAGGGATGCACATCTTTTTCTAAAAGAGGTGGTGCACTTAAAATACATAGAAGCTGGATGGCAAGTAATTCACAAGGAAACAATTTACAGTTACAAGCCAAAACTTAGTTAAATAATTGTTATTTTTGTATAAAAAATGCAGCCAAATGATTCAGTTACATATAAGCTTCAAAAAGGGGGAATCTGCACTCCGGCACCCCCCTCTGGATCTTCCTCGTATGGCAAACAAACCCTTGAACAGTATGGCAGCTATAGCACAAAGGTCTTATGTTTTGAGTTGCAGGTTGCTCGTGAAGTAACTCTTCAGTTTATTGTGGCAACTTAAGCAATCTGTTGCAATCAGCATGTGTTGGAGAAAAGGATTATAGTGTCTTCACATGGTAAAATATTGATGTACTGACTTCTCAAGGTTTTTGAAGATGTTGACATTCTCATCCCTGTGTGTCAGCTGGAATGCAAGCGCTGCATGATGGTTCTCCAACACAGCCCTGAAAACAACACAACAATTAGGAATTTTGCTATGTGTTTTCTAGAAAATGATTTTATTAATTCTTTCATTAACTCAGAACATCATAAAATAACTTTATTAAAACTCTGCTATGATATGCAATGTTATACAATTTTGACTGTTATCCTTTCATAAATGTACAAAAAATGCAAAAACAACCTTAACATTATCCAAATTTGACCTTTCTGATATGTGTTAAAAATGCATTAATCATATAGATTTATATGAAATTGACAATTTTGGCCTTCAAGGTAGTAATCCCCAGATGAGTACAATGTGTGAAGTTCATTTCTGATGTCCCCCGCCATCATGATATTGTTGGAATACTGCTACCATACTCACTCACTCACTCACTCACTCACTCACTCACTCACTCACGGTAGTTCTAATTTTGAAAGGGTTATTCATGCATATAACATGAATGCTACTTATGCAGGCATCTTACACATCATTATAGAGAAGAGCAAGACTATTGCCGTCGTTGATGAGGAACGCATTTGTTCTGGCAGGGTGGTCAACATCGTGGATGACAGCAGCAATCAGAGCTGCAACTTCATCACCTTGGTCGAACACATTCTGTAAGAAATACACATGATCAGTAGAGTCAGGTTTAACATTTCCTTGAACACTATTACAATTACTCCACTTTGAGTCAGCATACCGTATTTGCCGTAATAAAGACATCGCACTTAGACAATTGGGTGTTTGTTAAAACCATAAACAGCGAGTTAAATTTGTTTTCAGAGGTAAAGTGAACAAACTTCACTACAGTACTGTTTTCCATCATATACACACGAAAAAACTGACTGGCTTGTAAATGTTTTAAGCAGCTCTTTGGGCTGTGGATGCTTTTTACAGCGACTACAGCATCTACAGAGCATGTGGGGTAACACCCTCGGCAGCCCTAGACACACCCTACATCACACTGGATCTACCAGTGAAAAAAGGCTCTTCTCTGTTGACTGGGGTATTATTGCCTTGCCAGAAAGTTCAGTGTAGCTACAAGTGATCACCCTACAGGATGGAGCTAAGTGTGGCTTAAAGGGAGATAACTCTGTATGGCATGACGCAAATATGAGCACATGGCCCCCTTAATATCTACAAGTACTGCTATTGGTGGATGATTTGCCATTGAATATATTTTCTTTTGTAATGTACAGGTAATTACACTAAAAAAATCAGATCTATATATCCATCTTTAAAATGAACCTTTTAAAATAGAATCATGTCCAGTTTACTTGATTATTGAATGAGTGAGTATGGTTTTACGCCGCTTTTAGCAATATTCCAGCAATATCAGGGCGGGGGGCACCAGAAATGGGCTTCACACATTGTACCCATGTCGGGAATCGAACCCGGGTCTTCGGCGTGACGAGCGAACGCTTTAACCACTAGGCTACCCGACCGACCCTTGATTATTGAAAGAAGGCTTTAGTAGTCGACATATCACTTGTGCAACACATGCAGCGAGTGAGTGAATGTTGTTTTATGAAGCTATCAGCAACATTCCAGCTCTATCACTGCATCCAGTAAGTCAGGACTAAGAGTGTGATCCAGGTATATTGTTGGATCACACACACCGCAGCAGTAATACATGTGTGCTGGAAGTCCTTGAAACAGGTTCGCTGACTTGGTTCAAGCATGTCATCGATCCCAATTGTGTGGATAGATGCTTATGGTATCAATCACTGCATTGTCTGGTCCAGACTCGATTATTTACAGACCAGAGGGTGGGTACCCGGTAGGAGCAGATTGTAATGGGACTGTTAGCACCTGACAGGCTGCTTGGGTTTTGCACTCCCTACGGAGCCTGGAGGAATGATAATCGGGTGAACACTGATCCAGTGACCAAGGTCATAATAAGATCTATCATGGTCGTAGGGTATTTCAGTAGTTATAAATTGGGAAGTGTGCTATACAAATTCGTAATGATGATGATGATGATGATGATGATGATGATGATGATGATGAAGGGATGATTTAAAGGGAGATAATTATCTGACCTTGACTCTCTCCTTATCCAGGAAGTATGCCGTAGCATGAAGAACATCGGCTGCATGCGTGGAGTTATGATAAGGGTTGCAGGCATGGTAACTGGCTTCAATCAACTGTAACCAGTTCGTCAGACAGGTTTCACTGATATTCAAATACTCGCACACTCCAAACCGGGAAAATATTTGTAAACCTAAAAACACTAGAGGTCTGAAAACAAGAAAAAAATGTAATTAGTCAAAAATCAGAATGGAAAGATCTTATATTCTTCGTATGCTTCATGTACATATTTCCTGTAAACTGATGATAAGACATTCTACATGTAGTGTGTGGGTCATTATAAATAAATCTGAAACCATCCCTAATGATCAGTTTCTTGCCTGTAATATGATTGGTCATTCACAGGCCCAATACATCTGTACATAAGTAGACTCACATGCTGTGGAATAAGGTCAGGTGAAGTGAAGTGGGGTCTAACGTCGCGTCCAAGATTATATCACTGACATAGCGACGTGCATGCACGTGTGTGTGTGGCTGCTTGTACTAGTCCTGACTGATGCCAATTTATAGTGCTAGCTCACTGAGATACCATGCCACAGTTTAACATGAATACCCCACTCAGACACAGTATACTGACTCCGAGCCAACCAGTCCTTGTTTTAGCCCCTTAATGCCGAGTGTCAGACAGGGTAACAACAAGTACCACCATCTTTTAACGTCTTTTGGTATGACACGGCCGGGGAGCGACCCTGGGCCTTCCACTCTTCAGGCAGACGTCTACCACTAGACCATGGAGGCGGTCTTGTGAAATAATGAGTTTGGTCGTAACCATATGAGTACATTATGCCCTTCTTCGGGCATCGTCATTACATAAATGTTTTCTCCATGATTTCTCAGGTAGAACAAACTATATACCATATTCAACGTAATAACCGCCCAGGGTGCTTTCAAAACTAGAAATAGGGGGCTCTTATTAGAATATAATTTTGGTGAAAGAGTTGAAAGATTGTAAATTTCGTGGTTTATGCTGACAGCTGTGAAATGATACAAAAGAAAAGTCTGTGCATATTATACACGACATATATATTTTTCCAGAATTTAATTGCCCATACTTAAGGGTGCATATAACACACGAGTGCGTATTATACACGAATAAATATCTTGTGTACATTGATCAATTGGAAGGGTGCTAATTGGGATTGTTCACTAGCCAATATAATAGCAAATATCACTGTGGGCACTTATTACGGGGGGGGGGGGCGCTTATTACGTCGAATATGGTAACCACTTACTGATACCTATCTACTCTACAATAAAACATGTTCAGTGTTTATCCTTACAAACATTCAACTCAATTGCAATGTAAGGCTTAAAAAATAAAAGAATTGGTTCTCAGGCAATGGCTTCAAAAATATAGTGTGAGCGGGCAGTGTTTTTTGTTTGGTTGTTCAAACTAGTATGTAACCAAATAAACAGTACAATCAACCTGGGAAAGGGCCTCCCTTAATAAATGTATTCCTTGATGAGTAAAATACTGGAATACAGTATTTGACTACCGTTGGACTTGGAATATTTCAGGATTATTTGGTTGTTTTTTTTAAATGGGAATAAAAATGAAGCATGCAGCTAACTTTGTGATGATGTGTGTGGTGCCTGAGAACCAAGACTACTATTTTTTTTCAGCCTAATGTCCAATTTCAAAATAATTAGTGACTGAAGATGGCAATCCATTCTGTCTCCTTAAAGGCAAACAATTCAAAATATTGCAATAATTAACAATATGCTATAATCTGGCAAGTACTTTATAAAAAATAGTAAAAGTGAGAATAATTATTTGGGAGTGTGTTCAAAAAGAGGTGAGTTATCACAGACTCAAATCACAGCAAAAATAAACATCGCCTATTTTGAAGGCGCCCCCTGATAATTGCAAAGGAAGTTTTTACCTTTTATTGGTGCCTTTCTCCAACTCTATTATATGAAAGTCCCAGGATTTCTCATTCTCTAGAATTGCCTGTATGTTTTCTGGTATCTGCGTCAGGGCAGTCGGACTAGACGGAATGTGAGCATGGGGATGGTGAGCTGAGGACATAGAGGTCACCAAGGTCACCACACAAAACAACATGTCGACCTCCGCTGAACTTTAACAACCTGTCATTTGGGGCTGACATTTGAGGTCTGAATTAGTCTTGAACAATACCCAGTATTATGTATAGCTTCATCTATCAGTTCAAATGATACATCTCACATACACAGATGATACAGAGAAATAATGCTGCTCCCATGGATGTGATTCTAGCATCTCACCACGCTCCCTACAACTCGTGAAGATCCGGGGTAGATTAGGTCTTCAGCAACACATGCTTGCCGTAAAAGGCGACTATGCTTGTCGTAAGAGGCGACTAACAGGATCGGGTGGTCAGGCTCACTGACTTGGTTGATGTATGTCATTGTATCCCAATTGCGTGGATCAATGCTTATGATGTCAATCACTGGACTGTCTGGTCCAGACTCGATTATTTACAGACCGCCGTCATATAGCGGGAATATTGCTGAGTGCGGCGTTAAACAACAAACAAACAAACACACTCCCTACATGCAACACCATCCGCAACCCCTTTCACTCACTCACTCATGCACGCACGCATTATAGACAATCATGCCCAGTAAACATATCAACCACACATGCAGCAAAGCTCAAGAAATGCATGACAATAGCCAATCTCATTAAAATAAGATCTTAGTTCTCGCTACTGGTAAACAAAGATCTGAGGACATCCTATTAGGGGTCACGTCAGAAGGACCTTTCATCCAACCAATCAGAGTGTCGCTTACCAGATGATGAAAGTGACAGTCAGAATGTGATTTCTAATCATGCAACCTCGTAAACTTTAACATGGGGTATTCCGAACGATCGTTACAGGCTTAACGACTGAATCAATACAATCTAGATCATCTATTAGCCATTCCAGAATGTTCTTTTGTTCAGGTGTGAAGTTTCAAATGTTAATCGAGAATTTCTCAATATTTGTTTCGAGGCGTAGTCGCCACTTTGAAATTAGTACCATAAAGCACGAGAAAGCTGCCTTCTGATTGGCTAATGTCTACTTCTTGTCAGTCATTCCATTGGTCGGTCAAAGTTTGCGCAAGGTCGGTCTGACGTGATCCGTAATGGGATGTCCTCAGATCTTTGATTAGCAGTACCGCGAACTAAGATCTGATTTTAATGAGATTGGACTATAGCTGATCTAATATCCATATCCTTCTTTATACAGTTACGTGGACCCATTGTACGTTGAATGAGTGAGTGAGTTGGGTTTAACGCCGCTTTTAACATTATTCCAGTTATATCACAGCGTGTCAGCTTAATGTGGGAGGAAAGCCCGAAGTGATGCAGGTCTTAGACGTTTACCACTTCGGTGAAACCCACGAGCACAGGTATGGTGCTGACAAACCTAGAAACATAATCGGGGTGAACTGGGATTCGAACCCACAATCATAGGTTTCTGGCATGTCCAGGGGACGCAACTCTGCACAGCGATTCGCGGCGCCTTAGACGACTGGGCCACCCATGCCCCCCATTGTAAGTTGAATAAAGATATAATACAACCATTGGCAGCACTATCAAATGCGTATTTTTTTAAGAAGGGTAAGCTGTTCAAAGATACACAGATTCTTAATGATCACCTGTCTGTTGAGTTGAGTGAGTGGGTTGGTTTTAAGCGAAGTCAAACAGTATTTCAGTGATATCCCTAATATTGCTAAAAACCTCACACGTCCATTGATTTTAATGACTTGTCACGCGTTGTTCTTCGTAATATCAACTGTAGAAGCACTACAGATAAAAGTTAACATTAACAGAAAAATAGATGCTCAACTTACTTGTTTTGGGTATATGTGTATCGTGACCTGAGAGTCGACGTTTCATGTTTTGCTGAAATAAAAAAAATAACATAGTGAAATACAGTCACAGTTAAGTAATTGATATCTGTTCAGATGTTGTAACATATACTCTAAAATAATATCAAAAGACCCAAAAAATGAAATTGCAATCTACAATGCCTCACATTATGTGCATGTCATTTCTAAGTGGATAACATCAATTCTAATTTTATCTATTTCAAATGTATTTACAGAGAAAATGTGTGAAATATTTGGGTTGCTATAAAACCAATGGAAAATGCACGACCTTGACCTCATAAACATAGCAAGGTTTCTTCACTCACTGATACTAAACCGCCAACAAGGTCAGAGGTCATGGGGTCCTCATCCTTCATACGTTGAGCAAAGTATGGTGAGTACAACTCGCTGGTGCGGAGGATGTCCAGTACTCGGTCCAGGGACTGGACCACTGTCAGCGGGCAGTTCTCCTGGGCTGCGTTGATGATGTTTATCACCTGAAATGTTAATGAGTGAGTGAGTGAGTATGGTTTTATGCTGCTCTTAGCAATATTCCAGCAATATCACAGCGAGGGACACCAGAAATGGGCTTCACACAGTGTACCCATGAGGGGAATCGAACCCAGGTCTTAGGCATGATGAGCAAACGCTTTAACCACTAGCCTACCGGACCGCCTCTTGAAATGTTACTGATATGTAATTATGAACCAATATAATTCAAAATAAATATCACTGGCTCTAAGGGACTGGTCATTTATTGTAGCGGTGGATGGGCCAGTGGAATTGGTCTTAGAACTGAACCCACACCCCCACCACCACCCATTTTATGCGACATTATTTTAATGCCCCCCACACCAATACATGTAACATTTTTCATGACCCTCCTCCCTCCATCTTCCTATACTTAACTACCAGACCCTAAATAATTTCCAAATTTATCAATTTTTTATTTGAAAAAATACAACTGTCATTTTTTTCTGGCCCCACCCATATTAATGTTATAGATTTTGGCGACCCCCTCCTCTTTCGCTGTGTCATTTTTTCATGATACTGAGAGTTAAATGAATGTGAAACTAGCTGAAATTAAGCCTTAAAACTGTTGCTTATAGGTATTGTGTGTACCCAGAATGGTGTTTAAAGGTATTGTGTGTACACAGACAGGTGTTTATAGGTATTGTGTTAAATGAATGTTACCTGACCCACTGCACAGAAGCCCCTGTTTTAAACAGGAAGTCCTTATAGGTATATTTGCACTGTATCCTGTTCATGAAGATATACATTACTCTCTCATAGCCCACCTTTGTAATCGGAGCCTCTATTGTCATGGAGTGTATCCGCGCTACAGACTCCCTTCGCTTGGGGAAGCCGTGGATTCCACCTGGAAATTAGCAAGGACAATGTTTATATATTCACAGTTCCCTTCCCTCCCTATTCCCATACCCACCTGCCCTAATAAATGTCACCTCAACAACTTCGAGACCAATCTGCTGCATGATCTGTACAAGCGCCCCTTCATAACACCAGATCCAACATTTACATGACAGTCCATTTTTTCTTCTGTATACAGCAACAAGAAATGGTATATAACTGCCTTGTAACTTTTATTGCAAAAACACTAGTTTCATCAACTTTTTCAACATCTGTTTGATCTCTGACAACAAAGTTAATTTGGTGTGTAATTTTAATAAGCACCCCGACTTTGTCAGTTTTAAAAGTGCCCGGGATGCTTATTACAGCGACTACTGTAACTGTGTTATAATCCTAGTGTGAGAGTCTGAATACAACGTTACATCTTTACTTTTGTGTATCAAACAATGACTATTTTGACACTGACTGGAAAACGTAATTTGGGCAAGGTCATGTGACTACAATGCAACTCACCATTGGCTAGTGGGGTGTAGTCGGAGTCCTTGACTCGGTCCATGTGCTGGGAGAGATCTAGTGGAGATGTTCTTACTGACACAAATTGACAAATTTTCCTGAAATTAGGGAAATGAACATATTCATTAAGATTTTCCACTTTGTTGGAGAAAAACCTACTGTGCTTTCAATTCATAGGATTCAGATTTGGTCATGAATGCCATGTCATGGTAGAATATGGTTTTATGCTGGTCAGCAGCATCAGACGTTTAACTCTGGGTTTGGATGAGACAGTGAGAAATGTCCATCCCTTGGCATTATAATGACACAACAATAATCTGGGTGACCATGGCGATAGCTGGACACAAGGGCTGCCCTGGAAGTACAAAGCTGATGACAGCCATAAGCAATAGTCAATATCACAGTGAGGTTGCCATGGTTGCAGAGTTTGACTTTTAGCATCACTGCTCCACTCAAGTGTGTCATGTGGTACCAGGGCAACAATGGCCTCCATTCAAGTGTTTCATGTGGTACCAGGGCAACAATGGCCTCAACTCAAGTGTGTCATGTGGTACCAGGGCAACAATGGCTTCCACTCAAGTGTTTCATGTGGTACCAGGGCAACAATGGCTTCCACTCAAGTGTGTCATGTACCAGGGCAACAATGGCTTCCACTCAAGTGTTTCATGTGGTACCAGGGCAACAATGGCTTCCACTCAAGTGTGTCATGTGGTACCAGGGCAACAATGGCTTCCACTCAAGTGTTTCATGTGGTACCAGGGCAACAATGGCTTCCACTCAAGTGTTTCATGTGGTACCAGGGCAACAATGGCTTCCACTCAAGTGTGTCATGTACCAGGGCAACAATGGCTTCCACTCAAGTGTTTCATGTGGTACCAGGGCAACAATGGCTTCCACTCAAGTGTGTCATGTACCAGGGCAACAATGGCTTCCACTCAAGTGTTTCATGTGGTACCAGGGCAACAATGGCTTCCACTCAAGTGTGTCATGTACCAGGGCAACAATGGCTTCCACTCAAGTGTTTCATGTGGTACCAGGGCAACAATGGCTTCCACTCAAGTGTGTCATGTACCAGGGCAACAATGGCTTCCACTCAAGTGTTTCATGTGGTACCAGGGCAACAATGGCCTCAACTCAAGTGTGTCATGTGGTACCAGGGCTACAATGGCTTCCACTCAAGTGTTTCATGTGGTACCAGGGCAACAATGGCTTCCACTCAAATGTTTCATGTACCAGGGCAACAATGGCCTCCACTCAAGTGTTTCATGTACCAGGGCAACAATGGCCTCCACCCAAGTGTTTCATGTGGTACCAGGGCAACAATGGCCTCCACTCAAGTGTGTCATGTGGTACCAGGGCAACAATGGCCTCCACCCAAGTGTTTCATGTGGTACCAGGGCAACAATGGCCTCCACTCAAGTGTGTCATGTGGTAACAAAGGGCCTTAGACTAACTCATTGTTTCAGAGGGTACAAGTGTAACATTGGGAGTGAATAATCAAATCCAGTTCTACAACATGGTCAAGAGTACTCCAACTTCATCACTGCCCCTAAATTGACGTCTGGACAAAAGACAAACCAGTGAGCACCAATTCACATCACGTCACTGGGGAATCCAAATGCTCCGGATTCCCACCCTGGGCCACAACAAGGTAGTCAATGAACTTAAAATAGTGCATCATACTGGAGATCTTTAAACCCAACAAGGAAGTACAATGCAAGGAATACTGTTATGTACACAAGTGTTAATACCGGTAAACACTTTTATGCATCCCACATTTGTTATTCATTAAAAAGTAACAAGACCTGAAGAGCAGGATACAATAAGTTTAATACTGATAAGAGAAATGACTCTGCTCAAAGTTCAGATAAAGTTTGGGCAGGTCAGTGTGAAGGTCACCTCTGGGTGAGATCACAAATAGAAGACAAAAGTTTACAGACGGCCATGACAGTAATAAACCCAATATACAGTTATCTTGTCAATGTTCGCTTGATTCTGATGACACAACAAACATATTGGGTAGTTTAGGATCACAAGGATGCACAGTGAGTGAGTGAGTGAGTGAGTGAGTGAGTGAGTGAGTGAGTGAGTCTTTTACACTGCTTTTAGAATTATTTCAGCCTTTTCGTGGCACGGGACACCAAGACATTACTTGAGTGTGTGATTTGGGTTTTACACAGCTCCTAGCAATATTTCAGCCAAATCACAGTAAGAAACGCCCAGATCATATAATGGTCATATATAGTTCATACATTCATGGATAAAAGAATCATCAGAAAATATTGGCTTACCCCCCTGGTCCTAATACTGGTGCCACCCTACAGTGGTGCGGTATCGTCTCCCCACTTTTCCTCCTTGTGTGATAAGTTCCTTCCCAATACTGAATGTGAAGGAAAGCATGGAATACAACATAGAAAGTTACAAGTATATCCTTCATAATTTGATATCCTTGTTTGCCTTAAGCTTTACCTGTTTTGAGTTGAAAAACATTTATCAATAGTTCAATAAAAAAAATGATATGCTGGATTAAGTGACCTAATTTCCTTGTACATTACATTTAACTTTTATTTTTAATGTGAAGCTTACATGGTATACAGCTTTTCCATTGGACGAAAGGTCTGTCACATGACTTTGAAACTGAAGTTATTAAGTGTATGAACGACACATTTTGATGTGCATACATTTTTCATGAGATGGTATTCTTGGAATGACGTAAACACTGATTGACTACTTCCACATTCCTGGGGAAACTCCTGGGAATTCCCTAGCACGAATAAATACAGAAGCGTTGTTTCCTATCATTCAGACCCTTTAATCTTGAACTTAGCATTTTGGCAGACATTGCGATAAATCTAAGAGTTTAACTACATCCTAATGATGAAGAAACTCCAACCTATAGTAGCATCGACTAAATCCGTGTCTAGGCTGATGGTGACAGTATAAGACTATCTATGAATTAACCTTAGCATCTGTTTGACAAATCTTTACAATCATCTTTCAATGATCGACCAATTGATCAACGATGACTAACACTTGTAATTCCCACAGGTTTATAAACAACCTCGAACATCTCTCCCGTCACGTTTATCATGTCGGCCATTTCGATGTCGTGTGCTAGATGTTAATGTATTACAACATGCTGTCATTTTGACTGACTTACTGAAGTATTTCTTAACACACCCTGTTCATTCTAATGATGACAATATTTGAATATATTTGCTGTAAACAAACTACAAAAGATGTCACTGTGAGCATACATACGCTCATGTCACCTCTCCTAATAAGGAACTACTTCATTCTGCGATACAGCTGGTTGTTGTATGGCTGTCAGTGTAAACATGAAGTCGAAAGTACTAATTAAATTGTGTATAGATCTACTTCCTTAGAGGTAAAAAATAGTGACATAAAAAATGATAAGAACTGACTTTCACTTTGTGTGAGTTTATTGGAGTATGAATGATAGCCAAATTATATGAACGACGGAGCTTGCAACGACAATCATACAGTTTTGCCCTCAGTCGATGATGCCAAGTCCACACATATGGATCATCCTGAGATAAGAGAGTAAATATTAGGTACAGAAGCTCACCTTCCCCTTCTTCAGCTGCCCATTGATGGTTTCTTGCAGGTCAGGTTTATTTTTATCGGACCTTGGGAGTTCCCGTGCATCCTGGCCACACACCTCCTCGCTTGTGTAGCCCGTCAGGCGTTCGTACCCATGATTCACATACTGCGTGAGAGAAAGTTATACATTAATACACTCAGTCTCGGGGAAAAAGCATCGATCGGCGCAGGCAATTGACCATCACAGCAAGTTCGATAAGTAATTACAAGAACTCTATGTTTGTTTGTTATGTTATTATATAAGATAGCTATGGGATAAATCGCAGAGAGCAATGATGTATTAAGCGTGGTTTATTTTATGATAAAACATTGTTCTACCATGATGTCATTTCTGGAGATACGAACATGCACTCGCAACTTGATGACATCATAAATTGGACGTTGTTGTTTTTGAGAGGGAAGTGTCTAGTGAGTTGTTCCCCATAGATGTGACTGGACAGCACATATGAACGCAATGGCAGAACAATCGCATCCAAAAGTGGTAGAGATATGACTATCGGTATTGGGGGAAAAGGTGCAGATAATCAACGTGAAAATTGTGAGAATACCAAACTTAACCCCCCTGTACATAAAACAGAGTTGTCCGACATTGCCAAGGTCAGATCATATTCAGGGAGACATCCTTATTTAAATATGGGTACATGTTTTTAAAGCTTGTGTAATTTATTGACATCCTTAAAGAGCTGTACATAATGTTGATATCTCATATAAGAAATAAACGACTCATGGTCGTTGTTTATCATACAATAAAACACTGCAGGAAAAATAAACCACTCGGGGCTCGCACCTCATGGTTTATTCTCCCTGTATTGTTTTATTGTACGATAAACAATACCCACTCGTCGTTTATTTCCTAAATAAAGATTTGTATCATTACAAATAGTACATGAAGCAGTGTAGCACCACTTGTGTCAATGCCTCAGAATCTCAGATGCAAAGGGAAATGGACAACTCCACAAGTTGATGGTGCTGCAGAGCCAAGAACAGTATCTGACCTGAATTTCATTCTCTTCATTAGTAATCTCCACAGCATCAGACACATTGTCTAACGCTGTGAAGAGGGCGATGCAGGCCTTCAGTTTGATCTGGGAGCGAACCTCGCCATGCTCCAGTGACAGCAACTCGTTGATGCAGCTCCCAACATTTGTCTTCTCTATGTATCTCTGCAAGAAGTATATGTAATAAACATCAAGGTCTTACGCGTTGTCTTATTTCTCTATGTATCTCTGGAAGAAGTATACGTAATAAACATCAAGGTCTTACACGTTGTCTTATTTCTACCTCTGTCACAATGAAAGAGAGATGTAATTTTTGTATAAAACATGTTTTTTATTGATAGGGTTACACAAAGTGTTCCTACATTTAACACTATCATATACCACCAACATTGTACAAATTAAATCTACAACAGCACAGATGATCCGGTAGGAGCTCTTCAACAGAATTATCTGGTCAAGATAACTCGCCACTGAAATGAGTGTCTGCAGGTCATTGAACTGAGTAAGTCCTTCATGACTACAGTGCCTTTGATTGACATGTTCAGAACACTGACCTTTGAAAAGAAAATGGGCACCCTCCCCCCAACCCTTCCCCCCAGGTAATGGACCAATACATATTGCCATCAATAAAACAAGCCATTGAGTTGACTGCATCAGCACTATTGCTGAATCTACTACAGTTATTTCTACCACTGTGCACACTCCATTTTCTCAAAAGAATTATTATGATATTATTTTGCAACTTTTTTATAACATAAGTGGCCTCTCATGAAGAAAATTGGTGCTTAGTGAAGTCTGACTGGAATGGACTCATTATCTTCCAGTCTGCAATGTGGAATCATTTCCTACTCTGTGCCATGTGCCTCTGCAAGCATCTGTTAGCATCTCTATCTCAGGGCTAACACTATCTGGTAGCTGTGATAGGTGTCAGCTACTCCAAGCAGAGAGAAAACAGCATCTCCAGGGAACTGCCAAAATATGTTTGTTGTTATCTGAAATTTGGTACTTGTGATTCAGGCATTGAAATTGGACTTTGGGTTTTAAGTTTGGTGTTGCAATTACTTTGCTACTTATACTGATGGACAGAAATAAGGGAACAGGTTTTAAAGAATGCATTTGTTTTACATAGCCATATACATTTAGCCAGAACATGATCCCAGATTATACGGCAGTTTAGTGACATTCATGATTCTATAATTTTCCTCAGGGTTAGGTTCTGTTCAAATCTGTTGGATTCCAGGATAGTGAAGTGTCCCATGTTTGTCTTAAGAACCCACTTATGAGGACTGGGTGGTAATTTGTCACCCATGTGTCATCATGCCCCATCTTCCTGAGGCAAGGTTAACTGACTGTAGAAGTCCAGTTTCCACCCTTGCCGAACTAGGCTGGAATTTCCGGGTTCATTCGTACCGCCACCAGCGGCTATTATGAGTTATGTCCCTTCTATGTCCCTCCTATTGACCAATCAGATTCCACAACTCATATCACTTGCATTTGCTTTAAACAAAATGGTGTTGGCCATTCAAGACGATCTGATTGATAATCAAGATCTATATTGTAATAAAACGTGTCTTTCTTAAAAAAGTGCATCAAATCATGTGAGCACCTTGACTAAAAACATGAAAAGATTTGGAAAATATCTGTTGATGCTAAGTTGACGCAGAGACCAAATCTATTATAGGTCTCTTGTTGACGACACACATGCCTTTCAAATCCTGCAATTGACCAAAATCTTCACAGCAGTTTACGAACCGGATGTCAATTTCATTACTCGATTTTGATTGGACTATGCATAAACTCATAAGTCCTGCCAAAATGTAACTCCACAATTCCAACCTAGTTCGGCAAGGGTTGAAAGTGGACTTTTATAGTCAGTTAACTCCCTTGCCTTAGGAAGATGTGGTGCCCCAATAACGTGGATTGTTACTCATGCCAGGTACAGCAGGACTGCCTGGCCATCTTTACAGACTGCTGGGTAGATCTAGAATATTGCTGACTGTGGCATTGGTCAACATTCATTCATTCTTGTCTCAACATGAATACAGCTTAAAAATTCTTCTGCCATACTTGTATGTGTTTCCTAACTTTTGTCCATCAGTATATGTGGAAAGTTCGGATACTTGAAGTCTTGTTGGATTCTTAGATCTGTGGCTTATTATCTGTAGAGGATGTTACCATGACATGACCAAACCATGAATAGTGAAAAGGTTAGATTTTGTATAAATACCAGCCTAAAAATAAAACTGGTCCGATGGAAGGAGAAGCCTCGATAGTTGGATAGTGAAGAGGTTTTGAACACAACGGTGTCCCTGTTCGTTTCTAACAACTAGGACACTGTGTCCCAGATTAGAGCCCAAACATATATGTGGGGGTGCAGTGATTCAGCGGAGTGACTGCAGTGGCAGCTGGCGTGAGGCATTAGGAATTACTTACTCTGTTGAAACCTGATTTCAGTAGCTGTAATATGGAGGGTTCTTCTTTGTCTGTGGTGCTGGAAGTGAGACACAGATATATGTACTTCATGTATCTTAAACGACTTGTTCTGAACTGTCAGAAACAACAACAGTGAAACTTTTAATGTCCTCACCATTGGGGTATTCATTAACATCAGTTGGGTATACATTAACACTAGGGGGGTATACATTAACACCAGTAGGGTATTGTTAACACTAAGTGGGATATACATTAACACCATTGGGGTATTGTTAACATCAGTAGGGTATACATTAACACCAGTAGGGTATTGTAAACACTAAGTGGGGTATACATTAACACCATTGGATAATACATAAACACCATTGGGGTATACATTGACACCAGTGAGGTATTGTTAACACTAGTGGGGTATACATTAACATCATTGGGGTATACATTAACACCAGTGGGGTATACATCAACACCAGTGGGGTATACATTAACACCATTGGAGTATACATTAACACTAGTGGGGTATACATTAACATCATTGGGGTATACATTAACACTAGTGGGGTATACATTAACACCATTGGAGTATACATTAACACTAGTGGGGTATACATTAACACCATTGGGGTATACATTAACACCAGTGAGGTATTGTTAACACTAGTGGGGTATACATTAACATCATTGGGGTATACATTAACACCAGTGGGGTATACATCAACACCAGTGGGGTATACATTAACACCATTGGGGTATACATTAACACCAGTGAGATATACATTAACACCATTGGAGTATACATTAACATCATTGGGGTATACATTAACACCATTGGGGTATACATTAACATCAGAAGGGTATACATTAACACCAGAAGGGTATACATTAACACCAGTGAGGTATACATTAACACCATTGGAGTGTATATTAACACCAGTGGGGTGTACATTAACACCAGTGAGGTATACATTAACACCATTGGAGTGTATATTAACACCAGTGGGGTGTACATTAACACCAGTGAGGTATACATTAACACCATTGGAGTGTATATTAACACCAATGGGGTATACATTAACACCATTGGAGTATACATTAACACCAGTAGGGTATACATTAACACCAGTGAGGTATACATTGACACCAGTAGGGTATACATTAACACCATTGGAGTATACATTGACACCAGTAGGGTATACATTAACACCATTGGAGTATACATTGACACCAGTAGGGTATACATTAACACCAGTGAGGTATACATTGACACCAGTAGGGTATACATTAACACCATTGGAGTATACATTGACACCAGTAGGGTATACATTAACACCATTGGAGTATACATTGACACCAGTAGGGTATACATTAACACCAGTGAGGTATACATTGACACCAGTAGGGTATACATTAACACCATTGGAGTATACATTGACACCAGTAGGGTATACATTAACACCAGTGAGGTATACATTGACACCAGTAGGGTATACATTAACACCATTGGAGTATACATTAACACCAGTAGGGTATACATTAACACCAGTGAGGTATACATTGACACCAGTAGGGTATACATTAACACCATTGGAGTATACATTGACACCAGTAGGGTATACATTAACACCATTGGAGTATACATTAACATCATTGGAGTATACATTAACACCAGTAGGGTATACATTAACACCAGTGAGGTATACATTAACACCATTGGAGTATACATTAACATCATTGGAGTATACATTAACACCAGTAGGGTATACATTAACACCAGTGGGGTATACATTGACACCAGTGGGGTATACATTGACACCAGTAGGGTATACATTAACACCAGTGGGGTATACATTGACACCAGTAGGGTATACATTAACACCATTGGAGTATACATTGACACCAGTAGGGTATACATTAACACCATTGGAGTATACATTGACACCAGTCGGTGTTACATATAACAAATTTATGTCATCACAGCAATTTCATGTCTTTTGATCTATGTCTGTAACTGTAATATTCAATGTTTAAAAACATTTTCATTTCATGAATAAATTAATCAAACACAAATATAAACATGAAAGTGAGCTATTACTTGATCTGAAAACAGAAATATATCTATTTTGATAACCCTTAAATCCCAGTGTTTGTCAGTATTTTCACAACCCACCCCACAGATGCCAAAGTGCCAAAAATGTTTGTCTTTTGGAAAAACATGAACATTATCAGTGTTTTTATACTTAAATAACTGTCCACACGTCCATTTGTTTCAAAACCAACACACTGAACTAGTCCCAACATCCCCTGAGCCTGTCATGATATAATAGCGGCTCCCTTGATTGTTGGCCTCCATTTAAACAAAATATCAATACCAGTAAAGCAGTTCTTCCTTACCTTCCTGTATTATAGACATCTCTCTGTGTCATACAACAAAACTGCTCTGACATGTTTGAGGGTGACAGTGCAGCCTTGACAGGTTATTACTGACAATTACCGTATTCGACGTAATAAGCGCCTAGGGCGCTCTCAAAATTAGAAATAGGGGCTCTTGTTAGAATATAATTTTGGTGAAAGAGTTGAAAGATCGTAAAGTTTGTGGTTTATGCCGACAGCCTGAAATGATACAAAAGAAAAATCTGTGCGTATTATACACAACAGATATATTTTTCCAGAATTTAATTGCCCGTAATTAAGGGTGCACATAACACACGAGTGCATATTATACACAAATAAATAAGTCTTGTGTACATTGATCAATCAGAAGGTGCTAATTGGGATTGTTCACTAGCCAATAAATGTATTAGCAAATATCACCGTGGGCGCTATTAGAGCGGGGCACTTATTACGTCGAATATGGTATGTTCCCTTTCTTAACTCACAGACACTATCTTAGTTATGTACAGTTGCAGAACAAATCTGACATCCGGGTCTTTATATTGTCTGCATTTAACATCCATAAGCCTGGCAAACCTGACAGGTAGAATAAGGGTTGCATGGCAATAAAGTCAGAGCCAAATGACAGACAAGCCACTCCTTGATGACAGTAGGTCTCCCTGTCGTAAGCAATGGACCAAAACAAAATCAAACTTCTTACTTTCTGTCTTTTGAATTACACATGGACTTAATTCTATTCTGTTTCATTTCAGATCTAGTGGTTTCATGGACAGCATTGTGTGTCATCAAATATTTTTGCCTTTGGAAGGATAATGAGTTTCCAGTTCTCTCCTTACAACTAGCCAATATATCATACCATTGACTGGGTAAATATGATCTACAATGATAGCAATACTTCTATGGTCCAAGAGATTGTTCTATGATGAAAATCAAACCATTCATGATGCTTCAACTGCAAATAATATGTCGTGAATTTGGTCTTTTTATAATTATTGTCAGAAAGCCATGCCAAATATTAATTCTTTCTAATTCATTAAGTCAAGACATTTTTTTTAATATCAAGATATTGGTAGAACAAAATGAAAGGGAAATTTTTTTATCATCCACTGGATGTTTCAACCTAAATGATGACCTTTCAGTCAAATATATTTTTAATCAAATTGAGACATCTTATACATTTGTCATACTTATAGATACTAATGGCTTGATTTAACTGCCCCTTAATTACAAAATGACAAGAAAAAGACAACTAATAAAAATGTAGAGTATCAGATATTACCGACAAGATGACCTTTAAAGGAATAGAGATAAAGCTGTCTTGTTATGTGTAATTATAGGTAGAGTGAGTGAGTGAGTATGGTTTAACGCCGCTTTTAGCAATATTCCAGCAATATCACGGCGGGGGACACCAGAAATGGGCTTCACACATTGTACCAATGTCGGGAATCGAACCCGGTTCTTTGGCGTGACGAGAAAACGCTTTAACCACTAGGCTACCCGACCGCCCCATTTTAGGTAGAAGTGTTACCACATAGTACCAGGAATTAGTCTGGAGGTTACTTAGTGTAAGAGTGAATATTATCCTACCCTATTTTTATCCCGGGGATGAAATTCTCTTGTGTCAGGATGATTCTCCCTTGTGAATTTGAACCCATACCAGTGTGGCACTTAGGTAGGATACTATACTCCAAAGTAAAACTTCACCCGGAATAACATTTAGGTAGGATATGATCCTTGCTTACAGTAGCACTACAGATGCAGGCTGCAAGCATCAGCATCAGGGTTGGGTATTGAAGTAAACGAATTATGCAAACTTGTAAACAACCAGGATTCAGGAGACAAATGTTTTTGACTTGGATGAGGAAAAGACAGGAAGAGATTTCTTTGCCCATATACTTAAGCCTGATGCTAAAAACCGAGTGAAATCATTATATGAATGCTTTGACTACTTTTGTCTCCTCGCTTACACGAGTGAGGGAGTGAGTTGGTTTTAGCGCCGCTTTGAACAGTATTCCAGATCAGCTTAACGTATACTTACAGTTAGGCATGTCTTCTTAATGTGACCTCCCTCCCCCGTTATACTGAAGCTTATAATGGTATACTGGTATACTTACTGTCCTTTGGTGACTGCGACCAGGACTGTGTGCTCACTGGCTTTGGTGGCTCTTATAGACCTACAAGCATAAACAAATAGAAGGTAAGTTAAACAGAAACGTGGGTGCCTTGTGTCCATCAATAACTGCCAAGTAGACATGACAGTAGGTTGGGCAGAGGTGGATGGCTGTTTGAGGAACTCAAAGAAGCTAGAGTTCTGCTAGTAGAAGTTGGGGTCACTCCTACACTCTGGGTGGCAGTTTGATCATCAGATTTTCGTCTATATTCCACAGAGTCCATAACAGACCAACTGTGTTGTGTAACCTCGACCTTCATCTGTGACAGGCCAACTCTATTGTAACCTTGACCTTCATCTATAACACGCCAACTCTATTGTAACCTTGACCTTTCTCTATAACAGACCAACTGTGTTGTAACCTTGACCTTCATCTATAACAGGCCAATTCTATTGTAACCTTGACCTTTATCCATAACAGACCAACTGTGTTGTAACCTTGACCTTCATCTATAACACGCCAACTCTATTGTAACCTTGACCTTTATCCATAACAGACCAACTGTGTTGTAACCTTGACCTTCATCTATAACAGGCCAATTCTATTGTAACCTTGACCTTCATCTATAACATGCCAACTCTATTGTAACCTTGACCTTTATCCATAACAGACCAACTCTATTGTAACCTTGACCTTTATCAATAACAGACCAACTCTATTGTAACCTTGACCTTCATCTACAACAGGCCAACTCTATATTGTAACCTTGACCTTTATCCATAACAGGAAATGACAGCTATTTCAAGAAAGCCTCAGGTGCCATCCCAAACTCACTTTAAATATTCAGTGTTTTAGAAGTCACAGTTTTAGAATTTGTTGTTCCAATTTATTTGGATTTTCATCATGATTAAGATATGGTCATAAATACTGGCATTGATGTTCTTTATCAAAAATATTTGTTGACTTATTCAGCTGAGTAAGTGTAAAGTCTACATCCTATATGAAAGTATTCATCCCATATGTTACAAATGGATATTCTGTTAGACACAACGAGTGTTTTCGAGTGGAATCCGATTATATACCAATTAGTCCTTGACACACTCAGCATAAGATTTGTATTTGTACAAATATAAACCACAGAGTTCATTCAACTATTAATTCAATAAATACAACATATGTTGCAGGTTGCCATGACAATGGTAACAGAAGAACAGGGCTCCAGATAAAGGCTGTATCACTGTAGGTACGGATGAAAATATCCATGATATGATGTGGGATAATTTAGAAAACGTATCAGATACGCATCATAGACATTTCTAGACATATTTCTTTAAAATATTATTCTGATTTCAAGCAGTGTATTTTCTTGAATATAGTGCACACTTTTCCACAAAAAAACACAGATGAATAAAGGGGTGCGCATTATACTTGTTATAGTGAGTTTTGATGTTTTTTTCCCCAACACAAAGACATTACTGTGAGCATATAACAAACGAATATTAGAATATATTATTCCTGATAAAATAATAGTTTCAGGTACAAGTCTCAAGATCATTGCATCAAACTTCTTATATTATTGGGTAAATTTTGACTGAATCACTAGTAGATTGTGAGAAAACATGTGTACAGCTGATTGCTGTTTCTGGCTTAGTTTACGAGAAAATACACACGGTAATCTAAATATCTACATAGAAAACATTGCCTAGTAGGACTGGAATTACAATTTAAACGGTAAATCATCATGTTTAGTTGTGTTTAATCTCAACATTGAAATTTGTATAAACCAAGTTTGTTATTACCTGTTTGTTCACCGGACTTTAATGAAGGGATACATTGTAAATATTTCTGCTCATAATTCTCAACAAATTTTCCCTCAGGGGTTGCACATTATACAATAGACATACCGTATTCGACGTAATAAGCGCCCCGCTCTAATAAGCGCCCACGGCGATATTTGCTAATATATTGGCTAGTGAACAATCCCAATTAGCACCCCTACCGATTGATCAATGTACACAAGACCTATTTATTCGTGTATAATACGCACTCATGTGTAATATGCACCCTCAATTATGGGCAATTAAATTCTAGAAAAATATATCTGTCGTATATAAACATTTCAGGCTGTCAGCATAAACCACGAAATTTATCTTTCAACTCTGTTTTTTTCACCAAAATAATATTCTAATAAGAGCCCTATATTTGTAATTTTGAGAGCGCCCTGGGCGCTTAATACGTCGAATACGGTACATGTACAGCTAAAAAAAGTACAGTAAACTACGGTTATAACGAATACGCTTATAACGAACTACGGTTATAACGAACTTAAATTAGTGGTCCCTTTGAGTTCATTATAACTGTACTTTACTGTGTTTCCTTTTGTTTATTGGTTATTGACCTGTTTACACGAGAGTAGCAATGCTCTGGTGCATATCTAAAATGAAATACAAGATTAATCCATTACATTCCATTCAGTCCTTTTAGTGTACTCTTTAGTTTTGCCAGTACTCCTATATTGAAATAATGAGTACGTACTCCTGATGCTGAAACATTATATGGAGCCCTGGTGGAAAGTGTTGTCAGTACAGAGCCAAGCATCAGAGAAGATCATCAGCTACGGCCCTGTGGAGACTCTGGGAAGAAGAGGTTCCCAGTGTGTGTGGCAAAACCCAACACAGATGAGGATTGGGTGGCCACAGAATGTAACCTGACTTCATACCCCACTTCCGATCTTGTTGCCATGGTTTCCTTTGTTAAAAGTGTAAGAGTATTGACCGAAACATCTGTCAAACCCCACTTCCGATCTTGTTGCCATGGTTTCCTTTGTTAAAAGTGTAAGAGTATTGACCGATTTTCATCTGTCAGTAAAAAGTGTTGGTGTATCACAGATAAACGACAGGTGCACCAGGAGATACATTCCCTATTAAGGGAGCAATAGTTACTAAGTACAGCCCCAATCATGTATAAACAATATGCAGATTTAGCAGCAAGTGCATCACATATTACATGTGCAACACGTCCAAGATTACAAACCACATACTGGAGTATTGGAAACCAAGACGCAAAACAGCATTCACTCACACACACAATTAACTGTACATTTATTGTTATATATAAGAATCTACGCAATAAATCGCAAAGAACAATGAAGAACGAAGCGTGGTTTATTTCACGATGAAAAATTGTTCTATCAAGACGTCATTTAGGGTGACGTCATTTAGGGTGATTCGAACATGCGCTCGCAACTTGATGATGTTGTCAATTGGATGTGGTTGTTTTCGAGCGGGAAATGCCTAGTGAGTTGTTCCGCATAGATGTAACCGGACAGCGCAGATGAACGCAATGGCCGAATGGTCGCACCCAAAAGTAGGAGAGATATGACAATCAGTATTGGGAGAAAAGGTTCAGATAATTGACGTGAAGTTTGTGTGAATATAATGGGGGAAATACCAAAGTAAACCCCCCTGTTCATAAACTGGACTTGTCTGACATTGCCGCAGCTGGATCCTATTCAGAGATTCATCATTATTTAAATACGGGTAAATACTTTTAAAGCATCTACTTTTAATTACCATCCTTAAAGTGGCTGTACGTAATGTTAATGTCTCATATAAGAAATTTACGGCACGCGGGAGATGTTTATTGTACAATCAAACACTACAGGGAGAAAAAAAAAAGAGGGGCGCCAACTCCCACTTGTCGTCTATTTCTTAACTAGCATATCTAAGACGTTGTTTGGAGTTGCTTTCCTCTTTCCTTCGTTAAGCTATCATGCTGTGATATAACTAAAATACAGTGACTCTAAACCCAATTCATTCATTCTTTTACTATTTTGCAATTTTTTAGCCTTACAATCCACTTTTTTTAACATACACAGAAGAAACGCTGCTTCTATTTAATACTACACTAATGAAACAATGTCGTGGTGCTCATGGTAATGTGAGTGAACTTCAAATGAGTCAAGATCTTTGATGTTTTTGAGAAGCCTTTAAGAATTGGTATGGTGCTGACAGAACAAGGGTTAGAGCTGGGACGGGTAACTCGGGTACCGGGTTCGGGTGGGTACTGAGTAGGATCCGGGTACCCACAGGACTACCAGGACCCGTGGTTAGTTACGTGATACATTGTTTAATGACAAAAATTATCTGGAACTCTATGGTTACACTACAAGTCACTAATGTTCGCATTTCTTTCTGACTATGCACCCATTCCTTCTGATTTTTCATATGGTTGAATAAAGATATAACTTAATTCAACCTCAGTGTATGAATGACCAAATTGTTGAATACATGTATCTAAATACGTTTTGCCAGGGCTATGCTAAAAATGCTCCCAATGGACATTTTGAGACATCTGAGACCTACAGTGGGAACCCGGGTAGGCTCGGGTAATAGGGTGGTGGGTACCCGGGTAGTGAATTTGGACTCGTCCCAGCCCTACCAAGGATCATCATTGACCTGAATTTGGTCAATGGCAATAAGTATGTCTGACAGAGGTGTATATGAAGGTCGGATATGACTTACACTTGATATTAAGATGTCAACAACATCAGTGGCAACAATTGCTGTATAACCAGTGGCCTTTTTATCATTCACACATAGAAATAATAACAAAATCCTTTCTAAATTACATATCTATGAACCTGGTAGTTATCCCCCTGATATTATATGACAGACAACCTCAACACGCATACAATTTTATCAATTAATGTGAGCACTACTAGCGTATTTACGTCCAGCATTACCAGCAGTTTCATTACATGTGTGTACCCCCCATAGAGATGACATACAGGTAGCCTCTTTAACACTCCCTAGCTTCACTGAACATATAAGGTCTTAACAATCTAACCACGGCTGTGATTGAATCTACCCTTTTATAAAAGTAATAACACAAATGTTAACATTTTCCTTATAGAAATATGTCGTGTGAAGAAGCACTTCTGCCTGTGATGGCCTCCTTACAGGATCAAACAAAGATGGCGGATTACCCGGACACAGAACTGCTACTTGAAGAATAGATTAATATGTCTCATAACACCTGTTCCAATAATGAAAGTTTCTCTGTTCAAGCCTGGAATAGCACATAATCGACATTCTTAAGGATAGATATTTTACACTATTTCCTGAGAACTATCCATAATGATATTGCTTCTCATTTCAATCAATGACATCCAGCAATGTAAGTTCTGTTACTGTCTCTCTCTCAGCGTCTACTTTAGGGAGGTTTACCTTATGGCTGATTACTCTCTATATAGAAATTCATTTATTCAACGGTAACATCAGCGTTAGAGACTGCCCCTATCATTTGTCAGGGGTTAATCAATCAGGTGTAGAATCATCTGGTTGTATTAACATTTAATACTAGAACTGCTGTTTCGGCAAAGATGTTGAGGATCAGATGGTCAGAAACGTACTGGGCAAATGTGAAGATGTATCTCTCTATGACACCGATACTGATGTTGCATGTTACATAGTGCCAAGCAGTGCAGCTAAACTGCTTCTATTAACCTTGGACATACTTTAGGGGTGACTATATTTGTGTCTTTTGTCACAAAACAAGGGAAGATATTCCAACTTACATGTGAACAGCAAATTTTAGAAACCACTAAAGACACAGGTGTACAATATCAATTGTAAAGCGACCTTCACATGTGTTCAGCATTAACGGTAAAGTTACAGTGACACCAGGACCCACTTGCACAAAGCGATCTTAGCACTACAACTATTGTAAGCCTATGTTAAAGTATGGGAGTTACCATCATCTTAGCGCTAAGATTGCTTTATGCAAGTGGGCCCAGGTATTCAGCATTAACGGTAAAGTAACAGTGACATCAGTTGTTCAGCATTAACAGTAAAGTAACAGTGACACCAGGTGTTCAGCATTAACAGTAAAGTAACAGTGACACCAGGTGTTCAGCATTAACGGTAAAGTAACAGTGACACCAGGTGTTCAGCATTAACGGTAAAGTAACAGTGACACCAGGTGTTCAGCATTAACAGTAAAGTAACAGTGACATCAGGTGTTCAACATTAACAGTAAAGTAACAGTGACACCAGGTGTTCAGCATTAACGGTAAAGTAACAGTGACACCAGGTGTTCAGCATTAACGGTAAAGTAACAGTGACACCAGGTGTTCAGCATTAACGGTAAAGTAACAGTGACACCAGGTGTTCAGCATTAACAGTAAAGTAACAGTGACATCAGGTGTTCAGCATTAACAGTAAAGTAACAGTGAAACCAGGTGTTCAGCATTAACAGTAAAGTTACAGTGACATCAGTTGTTCAGCATTAACAGTAAAGTAACAGTGACACCAGGTGTTCAGCATACCCAAAGACGTTAAAAGATGTTGTTACCCTGTCTGGCGCTCGGCATAAAGGGGCTAAAACAAGGGTCAGAGTCAGTATACTGTGTTTGAGTGGGGTATTCATGTTAAACTGCAGCATGGTATCTCAGTGAGCTAGCACTAAAAATCGGCATCAGTCCGGACTAGTACAAGCAGCCACGCAAACACGTGCATGCACGTCGTTATATAAGTGCAATAATCTTGGACGCGACGTTAAACCCAATTTCACCTCACCTACAGTGACGACACAGCTGTACAACATCACCTGGCAAGTGACAGTGTTGACACCAGATGAGTCTCCTTGATATTACTGAATTAATTAAGTGTTTTTAATTGATCACTGTTGGATTCAAAAGAAGATAAAAATTTAAAATCCATATTCAGGTTAAAATGACTGTTCATAAAAGACGAGATATGATAGTTTTATTGTGAGGCTAACTTAGATTCAAACTCATTTAGAATAATACTCTATTGTTAATTGATGAATTTATGCAAAAACTGACTATAGTCTAATTATTGTTTAGGATCAGAAGCATACCAATATATGTTACAGTTATCAAATCAATTGCCATTAAATCTTCCCACATAGTAGCACTATAAATAGCCTCAATATTATTGTCGACATTATGTGTATTCAAAACCTGCATGATTATCCCAGTTTGGGAGAGGAATCCTGAAGATCGGTCAGCCAGCAGATCGGAATACCAATCAGGAGAGTATTGATTCCTGCGATACGATTGCTATCACGAAGTAGCAGAAAACTTTATATCATATCGATTTATTGCCATTCCTTCACAAAAACGATTGATTCTATAATATTCCCTGCTTGTCACAAACATGAAATCTTTTCTAATATATTGGGAAGAGCATCTCCATATAGAGAGCGAGCTAATTGTGTCACAGCGTTGGTTCAAGCGACATGTGGCTTACCAGTGCACTCATTGGTCAATACAAAGGGCTCACAGATCATTAGTGTATGGTAATAGTGAGATCCAGCATATCCGTGCATGTCTACAGAAAGTTCAGGGGTCAACCAGACAGAGAATATATTTTTCCTGTTCTTGAACATAAAATAACTAACATGTATCTTTCATAATTACAGACATATATTTTCCTTTACCACACAGATAACTTTATTTAATCATGTAGCGAAGTTTGGAACATTTTTTCCCCTTATCTCATAAGTACCATTATTTTTCTAATATCAGATAGCCTGGTACATAACATGTATTTTCCAATATCACATAGCCCGATAAGTAACATGGATTTCTAATATCATATAGCCCATTAAGTAACGTACATGTATTTTCCAATATCGCATAGCCCAGTAAGTAACATGTATTTCCAATATCACATAACCTGGTAAGTAACATGTATTTTCCAATAACACACAGCCTGGTATGTAACATGTATTTTCCAACATAGCCTGGTAAGTAACATGTATTTTCCAACATAGCCTGGTAAGTAACATGTATTTTTCAATATCACTTAGCCAGGTAAGTAACATGTATTTTCCAACATAGCCTGGTAAGTAACATGTATTTTCCAATATCACTTAGCCAGGTAAGTAACATGTATTTTCCAATATCACATAGCCAGGTAGGTAACATGTATTTTCCAATATCACATAGCCAGGTAAGTAACATGTATTTTCCAATATCACATAGCCTAGTATGTAACATAAAAACATCAAATATCAGTTTGCATAAAAATCAATGTACATCAAAAGACATGTTTTATTTTTCTTAAATAGATCTTAGTTGATATATTTTAACAATGTTATTACATAGCAGGCTCCAAGTGAAACCAACACAAAGTTATTTATCATTTCCATGGGGTCAATAGTCTTAATTACATGGATGGTGTTATCCATATCATTGTTGCCTTGCAAGGGCCCAGGATGGTAATGAGAATATAGTAGACAGCTTACCGGCAGAGCGCCTCCGCATCAAAGTGTTTAGTAGATCTGTGATCAATGACAACAAGGTCGTGGTGCTTATCAAGGAAACATTCCAGTGCTCCTTCTGGATTCCGAGAAATGTTACACTTATATCCAATCCTGTCAGCGGCACACCAGAAACCATCACTTTGTGCGTCTTCTTTCGCAAATACTAGTAATATCTGAAACAACAAAATCACATTCATAACAAATAACCTAAATAACACATTACTAGATTTTTTTATTTTACTTTATTTTACAGCATATGAAAATGATAAGCATATGAATGAATACACAAAGCCATTTAAAAATTGGTCAAATGCAACAAATGTTATATTTAACATATATATATAAGACGATCTGATTGGAATCATTCATATTTAACTAATCATATAAAATTTAGGATAACACTTTCTTAGTGAAGTACAGATTCCAGTACTCTTTTGGGTTGAATCCCATTTGTTGTCTCACTCTGGCAGTGTGGCCGGGTTCAAATCCCAGATGGCACCCAACCCCAAAAAGTACAAGAATCTGTACTTTACTAAGAAAGTGTTATCCTAAATTTTATAAGATTTGTTAAATACACGTATGAATGATTCTAATCAGATCGTCTTTGTTTATTCCACCCAGAAAATAATTAATGTGGATTGAAATGTTCTTATGTGAATTATGATTGAAGTTCGAGAAATATTCTGTGACTCATGAGGCACTGTCTTGTTTTGGGGCACTGGGGTAGCTGATTGGTTAACATATTTATTGGCTTATCATGCCAAAACCTGGGGTTCCATTCCCTAAATGGTGACAATATGTGGAACCCATTTCTGGTGCCCCCAGCCTATGTCCGGTATAATGCTAATATTGATGAAACTAATATTAATAATACTAATAATGGGCTATTTATGTTGTGCATATTTCCACACCACACAGGGGCATGCTCAAAGCACTATTATTACCCCGGTCACGGGATCATTCTGCACTCATGAATCATTCTCATCTCCCTGGGGAGTATACAACCCAAGCTGCCTGTTAGGTGCTAGAAGGCTAACAACCACATTGCCATCTCATCCTACCGGGTACCCATTCACTGCTGGGTGAACAGAGGCACATTTTGAACAAAGTCACTTGCCCAAAGAGATGCCACACGTGTTACATGTGCTTCAGTGTGGGGCAGGGCCGAAGCCCTAGAAACTCTCAGGAGCCAAGCTGACAAAAACGTGACACGGACACCCATCCAAGGACTCTCCACCTGACCACTTGACTTCACCTGTTTTGGGACATGTGACCTGTGACCTGTGCACAGAACCATGTGCCACCAGTTGCCTGATAATGTGAACTGACACAGGAGTAGCCATATATACACGACAACCCACCATAAACACACTTGACAGGTTCCATTGACATTCACACCAAAATAATACCTTTGTATCATTAAGAAATGAATAAAGTAAGAGCTCAAAGCAAAACGTGACACTAGGTGTTCACAAAACAGATGAGCATGTCTTGACCTAAACTGATCCTTAGTCTCTGAAATATATATAATTTTGATAGAAACAAGCAGCTACATTTAAAATGAAAAGGGGCCTCTGAGATGGGAGATGGGAGATGGGAGATGGGAGATTCAAAGACCAATAACATCTGCCGTGGGGCCACACATGCTGGTGTCAACAAGACATCCCATTCTACCACCATCAGATATAGGTTTAAGTAACAGGCATATTTGTTGGCCCTTGTGCTGCTGTCGTCACCACAAAAGTAACCACCACATTAGCACACACAAAGCAGTTACAAGGCTAAGACTCAGTGCTCACGACCTTCAAATTGAGAGAGGAAGATACTTTAACACTCCAACAGAAAAAAGACTATGTGCCTTCTGTGATTTCGATGAAACAGAAGATGAGGAACACTTCCTGTTGCGATGCCCTCTCTACAAAGATCTGAGAGGGGAACTAAATTCATCACCCGGCTTGCTATGAACCTACTATTCCTAAAAATACTATTAAATCCACCAGAGCCCTTCGCAAAAATTATATCTAATTTCATTCACAATATGTTCAGGCAAAGAAAATCTGCATCTCCTCCCTAACAATATAATCATAGCAATATTTGTATTCTGTTTTGTATGTCAATGTTTTAATTAGTCATGTTCATGTTTTGTACCCTGCCCCCTGTGGGTGGTTTGTACAATAAATATTCTTTTTCTTCTTCTTTTCTTCTTCTTCTTCTTCAAGAGTCCTTCTCCAGACCTCTCTTACCCTAATAGTATTTCCTTAACATGTGGATAATCTAGACTTGCTTCATTTAAGGCTACAGCATTACAATAAAAGCTGGGCGAAAAGGAACATAATGTTGTTCAGGGACTGTGAGACAGACTACTCGTGACCTACCAGTACCCTTTGAATGTCAAGGTCAAGGTTATAGTACAGTTGGCAATTTCGAATCCCCAACTTAAGCCCAAGAACTAATTCTCTCTCAAGTAATTAAAGGATGTTGCCACTTTCAAAGTGTAAGGTCACACTTTGATGTGGTAACGTCCTTTAATTGCTAGAGTTTAATTGGCAGGTGTATCCTGTTGGAGACAGAATGTAGTCAGAGAAAGTCTGTTATGCCCAATGTGTCTCTGCATGATAAAAAGCCAGCCTACCACTAGCCCACACTGTCTTTTATACTTAATACAAAACAGCTACCAGTATTTATTTTTTGGACTAACCCTATCCAAAATGTCGATATGACACCAAAGTTTAATCACACTTCTCCGAGTTGCAATCCCTTACAGTGCTTGAAGAAAAATATACAGTCACAACTTCAATACCAGAATCACAGACTTGATGTCTGTATCCATTAAAATCCATCTTCCCGAGGCAAGGGAGTTAACTGACTATAAAAGTCCAGTTTCCACACTTGCCGAACTAGGCTGGTATTATGGAGTTACAGTTTGGCTGGACACACAAATCCAATCAGAATCACATAACGAAATCGACATCTGGTTCAGAAACAACATGGATTTCAACGTGCAGATTTCAGTCGACTGCAGGATGTGTACTGTCAACTGGGCAGCGACAAACCAAGGTTCTCATATGATTTGATGCACTTCAGAAAGTAAGACCCATTCTGTTATAATATAGATCTTGATCATCGATCATATCGTCTTGATTGGGCACCGCCATTTTTTTAGAAGCAAATGCAAGTAATATCAGAGGTGGAATCGGATTGGACAATAGGAGGAACATAGAAGGGACATAACTCATAATGGCCAGTGGTGGCGCTACGATTGAGCATGGGAATTCCAGCTTAGTTCGGCAAGGGTGGAAACTGGACTTTTATTGTCAGTTAACTCTCTTGCCTCGGGAAAATGTTAAAATCCTCATAGATATAAAATGTATTTCAAGTAAGTTATCCATCAAGGAAGGCAATATGTCTCTCACAGGATAAACTTAAGGAGAAATCACACGTTCATATTTTCAAGTCATACTAATCAATAATAGCTACAGTTTAGTCTTAATTGTTTACTATGCAGGAACACTATTGTCAGTGCATACCAAGTGCTAACAATAGAATGCCTATGCTAGAAAGTGTCAGATCGTGTCAGAATGGCAGGGCTGTCATAATCAATACAAACTACATTATATTTCTTATTGATGCTAGGCAGAAAATGTTACGCATCAGCTGGTTTATTTGTTCAATGTAATGAATGTCACTTTAAACTCTGATTTTGACCAAACTGCTAATGGTTGAATGGGCTTATTTCTGGATTAAATCATCCGGGGAGAAACAGTTAAATCAGAGATCAAAATGGAGTCAAGGATTATTTTCAGATTAACCTGTCAAGCTAGCATTTGATGTCAAATATTGCAGAAGGGAACTAAACGGTTCTAAACTGCATGGCTTTTTCTGAAATATTATGTGACACGGAAAATTATATTTGCTCCTATAGTTTCATCAGCAACACTAGAACAGGAAGGCCCCTGAAATTTGTCCTTCAGTTTTGGGATGAGGCTTAGAAACGGACCATCATTCCAAAGCTAATACTTCTGTTCTGTGATAAACAAAAAGTCAGTATGAAAGCTGTGAGACAGTATGAAAACCAGACATGATTTTCGAGAGGGTCACTCCAAGAAACAACATACGTTTGGGAAGGCAGTCTTGCTACTATATTTGTACTAGAATACTCTAATTAAAACAAAAGTTCACTTTGATTTTACAAATCATTATTTTTAGGTATGCTTCTCTAGATCATCATTAGACCTTACAACTGTCTAACCCATGGTTACACTGCAAGGGAACATTGTGTTTTGTGGTTGTTATGCTGAACCTCCAAAACCTGGTAGCTCAGTACAGTAATCTGTTAAAACAGTTAAAACCCCCATCCAATTATAAAAGAGAAAAAAAAGTCATTTCTAATAAACAAGTCAACATTATGTTGTCGCCAATCGTATTCACTAACACCATCCAGATCATACAACATACATTTAGACTTACGTACAAGAGCATCACACTTGCCACAGGGGACATAATACAGACACTATTGTTGACATGATACAGACACTATTGTTGACATAATACAGGCACTATTGTTGACATAATACAGACACTATTGTTGACATAATACAGACACTATTGTTGACATGATACAGGCACTATTGTTGACATAATACAGACACTATTGTTGACATGATACAGGCACTGTTGTTGACATAATACAGACACTATTGTTGACATAATACAGACACTATTGTTGACATAATACAGACACTATTGCTGACATGATACAGGCACTATTGTTGACATAATACAGACACTATTGTTGACATAATACAGACACTATTGTTGACATGATACAGGCACTATTGTTGACATAATACAGACACTATTGTTGACATAATACAGACACTATTGTTGACATGATACAGGCACTATTGCTCAATGAACACAAACACCATCCTGTTTGTGTTAGTAGTGAGTGAGTGAGTGAGTGAGTGAGTAAGGTTTAACACCGCTTGTAGCAATATTCCAGCAATATCTCGACAGGGGACACCAGAAATGTTGAGTTAGTAAGAGGCAATGACCGTGACTTAGTTGAATGCATCTATATCAAAATGTTTAATGGTGGACATGAAGAGATTTCCTAATGTGATGCATCAATGACTAAAACTAGGCATATCCCAACTTTGATTTGTACTGTATG